ATCACTTTGGACCAACTTCACCCGAATTCCATACGGAATGTGGTTGGGACCATTTCTCTTTGCTTCGACTGTTCTCTCCCTATCAACCTAGATATCCTCAACACCATCCTGGCCATAAAGAAGAATGCTTCGGGCACTCTCCCCGAGCACAGACGGGCTTATTACCTGTCTCCCCGCCCGGGTTTTAAACTCACGCACAAGCTCCCGAGTAAAGTCCCGGCCTAGAAGCGGGACTACTTCGTAGTTCAGAGCAGCACGGAGTGGTCCATCCCTACTGACTGGAGGGTGGCCGCTCAAGACCCCAATGTCATCCTCGATGGGAAGACCAAGAAGACACTCCATTCGTGGGCTCAGCTCGGGTTAAATTACAAGGACTTCACATCCGAGGAGAAGCTCATCCAGGCCGGCTTGAGCCTGGGTAGGTTTTTCTTCACTTCGGCTCTTTTGTCCATATATTTACTTCAGGATTACTAATGTCGAGCTTCACTATAGGTCCCATGGAGGCGGAGAAGATTGACGGTCAGAGGCTTTTCCGCCAAATGAAGAGAAAGAAGCGCATAGCCAAGAAGGCACGCGTTGAGTCTCCATAGGCCTTCGCCGAGGCTCAGCCTCTGCAGGCTCCGACTCTAGAACCCGAGCTCCCCTATACTCAACCCGTCATCAACCTGGAGGAGGACACGGCGCCTCAGGGTCCTGAGATAGCGGTGGAGCCCACCACTGAGCCTACCAAGTCCGTTGTTGGGGGTGATACAGAAGCCACCCCTGAGGCATGCCCTGCAGAGCCTACAACCGGGGCCTGCCCAACTGATATCGTCGTCGAGGCTTCCAAGGAGTCCACCCATGCGGCGGAGGTGACCGTGTCTAGCTCGGAGAGCCAGGGGGTGAAAGTATTCCGAACCCCCAGTGCAGTCTTCAGAAGAGCAAGGAGGCTGCGTACGCGGAAGAGGTCACAGAATGGGCTGATCTCACTCCTGGTTAGCTCGGTAAACGGGCTGCTTCTCATACCATGGTGGTGAGTTCCCTGTGAAAGACTCCCCCCTTTTTTTCTCCACTTTTTTTTTTGACTGGTCTTCTTCTTGTCGGTGAACTTAGTCATGCGTGCTCTGACCTTTCAATCTGATCGGCATTTGAAACGGGCCTTGGAAGCTGAGAAGTCATCACGCGCAGCCCATACCGAGATGAGGGCAGCTCGCGGTCAGATCCACCGCCTCTAGAACGATGCTTCAACTCAGAAGAGCTTTATTGAAGTGTTATTGGTGGAGAAGAGCGAGCTGGCCCGAGATAAGGACAGACTGAGGACCGAAGTGAACGGGTTTAAGGTCGGCCAAGAAGCCTTGAGGCTTGAGGTTGACAGTCTCAAGGCGAACCGGGACAATCTCAAGGCAGACCAAGACTCCCTGAAGCTCGAGGTGCAGGGCCTCAAGGAAGCAAAAGGGAAGCTGGAGCACGAGGCGGAGTACCTCCGAGCCGACCTCAAAGAGAAGACCGAGATCTTCGAGGATGCCCTCAAGGAGACTAAGGTTCAAGCAGTTATCGACTATGTCCAGTCTTCAGGATTTGATGATGTGATGACCGAGGCATACCGCAAGGGCTTCAAGCTCAACCGGTGGCTGATTAGACACCTCTACCCCGGTCTGGACACAAGTGCCATCACCACTTCCCGGATCACCGACGACGTAGTGCGTCAGTCGACGGATGATCCGGACTCTGAGGATGAAGGCACCGACGATGAAGCAGAGGTTGCTGGCCTGGTTACCGCCCCCGAGGAGGTCCCTGGCAAAGACAACGAGCCTCCAAAATAGCTCAATCCTTGTATTTGCAAGCTTAATCTTCTCTTTTTCTTTTTCTTGTAACAAAACCTTTTGTAATGAAATTTTCATAATAAAAAATTCACTTCGCTAAACGCTTGTGCAATTTTCTTTACTTGCCGAAGTGGTTATTTTATCCTGAACTGTTAAGCTGTTAAGCTAAACACCCGAAGTGAGGGTTTCTCAACTGTCGTTACCCCGAACTATATTCCAGTACTTAGTAGGGGTAGCCTTATGTGCACCGAGGCGAGTAACATAGTAGGGTATGTGCCCGACCTGTCTGCGCCCGATTTGAGTTGACATCGGTTGTCCTTAGCGGGTTCAACCTGTTGCATGCCGGGGCAGGCTATGCACCACAAGGTTCGTACCCGAGCTTCCTGCGCCTTAGGCATTACAAATACTTAGCCTACGCCGATGAGGCGGCTAGGTCTTATGTGGTGTCGGGGTCTTTCATTAGCTCGACGTTTTAGCCCTTAGGCTGGAGGAGCGGCTCGTAGTCCGTTCTCCTAGAGTTCACCTATGCCGAAGAGGCGACAAGGTCTTGTAGCGCCGAGGTCATGTTAGCTCGGCATCTTGGCCCTTAGGCTCTGGGAGTGGCCCGTAGCCTACTCAGTTGTTACAGGTAATACTGTCTTAAGTTGATAATATTTCATGCCTGAGGTACCTGTCTTCCTTCGAGGGTTTCGGGCTCGTATGTTCCTTCCCCGAGCACTCGTTTCACTCTGTAAGGTCCTTCCCAGTTGGACCCGAGCTTGCCAGCGCCGGGCTCAGGTACCATAACTTTACGCAGGACCAGGTCGCCGACACGGAGGTTCCGCTTCTTGACCCTGGCGTTATAGTACCAAGCTACTCTCTGCTGGTAAGCTGCAGTCCTGATGTACGCGAGGTCCCTTACTTCGTCGAGGAGATCGAGGTTAGTACGTAGCTCGTCCTCATTCGTCTTATTATTGTATGCTTCCAGTTGCAGCGTACGTACTTCAATTTCTGTCGGAATAACTGTTTCAGTGTCGTAGGTGAGGTTGAAGGGAGTCTCTCCTGTGGCGGTTTTCTCCATGGTTCGGTAAGCCCATAGAACACTGGGTAGCTCATCTGCCCACAATCCTTTAGCTCGGTCCAAACGTGCCTTCAGTCTACGGAGGATGGCTCTGTTTGTGACTTCTGCTTGAACGTTTGCTTGAGGGTGTGCAACTGAAGTGAAATTCTGTCGGATCTCCATGTCTTGGCACCAGTTCTGGAATTTGATGTCCTCGAACTACTTGCCGTTGTCAGAAATTAGTACCCGAGGTAGCCCGAAGCGGCACACAATGTTCTTCCAAAAGAAGTTTTGGACGTTCCGGGCTGTGATCGTTATAAGAGGTTCAGCTTCTACCCACTTGGTGAAGTAATCAACTGCTACTACTAAGAACTTCCTCTGGCCTGCCGCTGGCAGGAATGGTCCAAGTATGTCGATGCCCCATTATGCGAAAGGCCATAGGCTGGTAAGATACTTGAGGTCGGCGGCAGACTGGTGGTGAATATTGGCGTGCTTCTGGCATTTGTCACATTTTCTGACGAACTCGACGACATCTACCTTCATTGTTGGCCAATAATACCCCTGTCGTAGTGCTTTTTGGGTGAGGGCCCTACCCCCCAAGTGTCCGCCGCACAGACCCTCATGAGTGGAGCACGAGCTCGACTTCGGTAGGTCGCAGGCATCGCAGGTAGGGGAGCGTGTAGGATCTCCAGTACAGTCGTTCGTCTATTATGACATATTTGGCTGCCTGGCGCTCTACCCTTCTGGCCGCATTGCGATCTGCAGGGAGGGTCCCATGTAGCAAGAAGCTCACGAGCGGGTCAATCCAGCTCGGCTCTGCTTGAACAACAGGAGCGACCTCCTCTGCCCCCCTGAGAATGCTAGGCCGAGGCAGGTCCTCTATGTACACGGTTCTCATGGTGATATCGCTGGTGCTGGCTAACCTGGACAGGGCGTCGGCCTCAGTGTTCTCCGACCTCGGGATTTGCCTGATGAAGTGTGACTGGAAGTTGAGCAGGGCCTCTCTGACTTTGGCTAAGTAGGCGTTCGAGCTTTGTATTCGCCAGTGACCTGGTTGACCACGAGCTGGGAGTCGTTGCAGATAATGATATGCTTGGCTTTTACTTCTCTGGCTAAGACTAGTCCAGCTATCAGCGCCTCGTATTCCGCTTCATTGTTGGATGCCGCGAATTCAAAGCGTAGCGTGTACTCCAATTTCGTGCCACTTGGGTCATGCAGAACTATTCCGGTTCCGCTGCCCTGTTGGTTCGAGGAGCCATCTACGTGAACTCCCGCAAGCGACGAGCTGCTTGTGGCAAGCTATGCCGAGCTATTTGACCCAAGGTGTCTTCACCTCGGGGTACCTAAAGGCAGATCGGGGTGTTCCTATCTAGGAGTGGCCTGAGATTCACTAGGAGGAGCTCGGGTATTAAGAAAGGTCAAGGAGCCCCGAGCTCGGAGGCAGCTTGGGGTGCCTTAGCCTTGAGGAGGAGGTGCAGGCTAGGCGGCTCCCGGCAAGTAGCCTATCCCGCCGAGTTGTCAAGCTGAACTCGGTGGGACCTTCCCTCCGAGTTGCGGCTACGATTGCTGTGCTGTCACGCTGAATCATCACTTGAGCAAAGTCACGCCCACATATACCCGTACTACGAGGTCGGGCCAAATCACCCTCCATCAAGGTGCATAAGAGAGGGAGAGAGGAACTTGTTTAAGAGGCAAACAATCAAAGAGCATTTTTTACCATAAAAGGGCAAAATTTCATATGCAAATGGAATGTGATGGCACACTAACAATAGATTTAGCCAATTGTCAAAAAAACACGGGTATTTTAAGGAATTTTGCAAATAATAAGGATAGTTTTACTCCATTTTCTGAAGCTTGAAGGTAATTTAAGAGATTTTTCTTATAAAATATGCATAAAACTTGGAATTACTTTATTAATTTCTAAGGTGTGGCTTGTTCGTACTCACAGCATCCGTGCATTGTGAATATCTCTGTACTCCAAGAGCACTGAATCCGAATTCCTCAATAACCCGGAATGTCGAGGCCATCATTGGGTAATGGTCCTTAAATCTCCCATGGAACTAGAAGCTAATGTTTGTGATGTCAAACCCTATTTTGGATCCATGTCACAGCAGGTATAGAACGAAAAGGATGGCATGCTCAGAAAATGAAGCTAAATGAAAAACCAGATAACTGCATTTTTGCAGAAAATTTTGAATCTAATATTAATAGGGAAGATACAATGTTAAAATGTAATGACTGTAGAAAACATACTACACATACACAGTCATGCAGTAACATGAATATATCTTCCACATTATCCTCCTGTTTGCGCCATAGGATTTTAGCTTGTTAAGAATCTGACTGTTTGGTTTTTCACTGGAAGCGAATGATGACCTAAGAACTTGTTTTTTTTTTTCTTTGCTAATTTGTCACTTCAACTTACTCTTCTGTTGGTGGGTCAACCCAACGTCCGTGATCTTTTATTAGCTGAATCAAGGCATCTGTTGCATGTTCCATTTCAATTCCACGCTTCACCACCGTCTGAGATAGAAACAGATCAACTTTACCATTAGCATTAGCTTACTTACAGTGCTGCATCTTCACTACGGGAAAGGGACAAAATTTTCCTCATGATTAAAAGATTTCAAATGTCTTCAATAACATTTGAAATCTGGTCAACTCGTGAGTTGTGACCCCCATTGAACTTTGTAAAAGTCAAATAGCCTGAAATCTGGAAGGTTTTGCAATCTTCATGAAGCCCAGGATTTTGGATTAGTGAAAGGAAACCACAACTCAGTTATAGCAGAATGAGTCCAATCCTGGGGTGATTCTCCTTCACTGCCATAACTGTGGGAAATATGGATACATGCAGCAAAAAATGGTTTTCTGTTATGGAGGACAAGATCAACCTTACAACTTGTTCTTCGGTAGTTAAATTTAATATTCTATATTTTCAAGGTTACCTATACAGCTAACGTATTGGTAGTTGCAGAAATTATCAGGACGGAATCCTAGCCATAACCATCACACGCATAGAAAGTGAATAACTTTACCTTCCCAACATAGAGATCAATCTTTCCAGGAGCACCACCTACATAGCCAAAATCTGCATCAGCCATCTCTCCTGGGCCATTAACAATGCAACCCATGATTGCAATCTGCCATAGGAAGGAGAAAAGAACAATAAGCATGGCAAGATCTTTTTCTCCTGCTTTAATTTAAACTCAATAATTTTCCTTGTTAACAAAGTTGCTGAGTTGTTACTGTTTAGAAAAGAATCCTTTTTTGGGGGGTGGGGGAGGGGAGAAAGGAAGGGGGTGCTTTTGCTTCGTTTGCTCATCAACAAATTCTGGCAATAAGATCTAGAGTAATTGAGAATTACTGAAACACCAGGCAAATGTGATGTCTTCTCTCGTATTTGGGCACTTATCTCTTGAAGGTCAAATAATGTTCGACCACAGGATGGGCATGAGACATACTCCTGCAATAAGATTTAAGCACCAACAGAGTTAAACAAGATGAAGTCACTCAAGATTACAGTAAAGGTTAACTCATTATTGTCCTCCATTGGTTTAAACAACTTACAGTCTTTGTATTACGCATTCTGCAACCTTGTAGCAAATTGAAGGAAGTGTTTCTTAGAAAATCAAAATCCTGGTCTGGGGCTTCTAATAAAACTCCATCCCCAAGTCCATCAACTAGAAGAGCTCCAGCATTACTGCCAGCGCCGATGACTAAGTCATCCCTGCAAGAGTGTTAATTGTATAAACCTAATAGTTTTATGGCAAAACGTAAAATGGTTCCATCTTGTTTGAGTCATGGAGTTTTCTGCTAGGGATGTAACCGTGCAACATGGGTGGGCTTGGATTGATCCATTGAGGATTTGTAAAAATTTTATGGGCCAACCCACTGGCACAGAGCTTTGTAAATTCTTCAATTCAGGTACCCAACTTGCAGCCCTAGCTTCTGCAAATTACCTGTGAATTCCTTCCGGGAACTGTAAATGGTGAACCACAGGGAAGTTCAGAGCATTGTCTGCTAAGTACTCAAATAACCTGCAATCAAATGAAAAATATTCAGATTCTTTTGGACAATGAAAGATGCCATGTGTAGAGAGGGTTAAGCAGCCTGTTGCTGTATGATAGTGGAATAAATAATGATCTAGTTCGGATCTGATGAAACTGAAATTTGGGCATTAAAAGGTGTATCTGTTTAGAAACAGATCAGGTTTGGGTATACAATACAAGATGTTAATTCCCAGATCCAAATGATCAGATTCGAAATGAATTGGGATATACAAAGCATTTAACCCAATCTAATTAGATATAACACACTTATCATGTATTTACCATTCTAAAGCATGGAGAAACTAACAACATTACCTCCTTGCTGCATGTACTCTGCTGACACTTTCTTCAGTAGATGGTAGATTATGTAGAAGCATTGTAGCATCAACATCTTTGATAATGTTCAGCTCCTCATAGGGTTCATCCCCACGGACAGAAATAGCCAAGCGCGTTCCTGAGAAATAAGGGTTTAAAATGAAACAAGCAATGATAGAAATTGCAGAATTAAAATGTGCATAATTTAATTAACATGGTTCAGAAAAAAAAAAAAAAAACCAAATTGACACCTTCTGGCAAAAGCTTGTAAGCCCCAGTAGATAGTTCCTTGAGATTTACTAGGACCATGGCATTAGGCAATGGCTTCGTTAGTTGCTCTGAAAGAGGGGTTAAAACCCCCATACTCACATCTATCAGCCTTTTCAGAGCTAGCCGCTGATCATTAAGCAAAAGAGAATTTTCAAGTCAACCTTATATCTTAGATGAACTTAAAATATATTTCTTGCAGCATGAATGATGGAACTAATTAAGAATATACCATTGAACCCCTTTTAGTGATTCAAGATCAACCAATAAATATATGCTAAAAAAGATAAAGCTATATTAAAAGAATGGGACATAAGTGAGCCTCAAAGAAGCAAAATTAGAAGGTATTTACAGCATCATAGTCATCTACTGGAGGAAGCTCCCTCAAAAGGATTGTGTCAACTGTTGCCAGATCCTGTCGCCCATGTTAGAATTCACTAATAAGATATGGAAATGCAAAAGAACCTCAATGAATTAGAATGACAAGCAAAGACAACTGTGGATAAGAAGACAGAACCTTAAATGGCATGCCAACAACAAGCTTTGCTGCAAGTGATTTGTACAAGAGTTCAGGGTTCTGCTAAAAGAACTATGTCAGACAAGGATCATAATAAAATATAAAGAGGGACTGAAATAATAAAGCAGATAGAAAACCTGCATCCAAGTACATAAATTTTGGGAAGACTGTAGTTGTTCAGATCAACATAAAAGGCCATTACCCAAAGTTGGCCCCAGCTATGTGAGGTCTTGGAAGGGCGAACTGGATACAAACCTAACCTTTGGCGTTTTTTCTCTCAGACTCAAACCTGAATTCTCAGATTTGTCAGCCTGATATTATGCTATTACACCAAGAAATAGCCCTTTGTCCAGATCAACACGCTTTTAATAAAATATTAAGACCTTCTGGCAAGTAATATGGCTTCTGAATTTGCTTTCTGAGTAAAGTTAGATTACCTTCATTAATATGTTTAGGTTCAAATTATGTAGCAGTAGGCACCATGCAGTTGATTTCATCAAAGCCAAACCATTGCTCCATAATAAGAGTTAAATTGGATTTTGTCATTGGTAGTTTTTCATAATTAACAAACAAACTAAAAGCACTCCCCACAAATCACTCCTCGATTCAAAATAGGTTGACCAATGAAAGAGATGGATACAGGTCCCTTGTACCAGAAGAATCAGCAAAAGAAAAGCAAATAGAATAAAGCAGGTCATGTTTGATGAAGATCCAATGGAACATTTCTGGTGGCCCAAGAATAGAAAAATAATTACCTTTTGCTCCTTAGAACACCAGAAACATTCCTTTGGTATGTTACCAAAACAGCACCTACATTGCCAACAAGTACCTTTAACTGATCCAGAGACACAGACATAAGAACAGAGCCATCACGATGCAGTACCCCTCTATAATCAACTTCTTCACCCTGCATTCATATAAAATAGCAATTTCTGTTTCAGACAGTTGCTGGGGCAATGAAACATTAAGAGAGTAATAATAAACACTGATAACTAACCTCCTTTTGTACTGGTAATTGACCAGTTCTACGTTGGAAATCAAAATAATGTCTGTTCTTTTCTTCAAATGGCACCTAAGGACAATGTCAAGAGGAACATTTAAGAAGTTATTTAACAACTGTATGCTAGATTTGATACATAAGAGAATTTTAAAGAGATGGTATAGAATGCTACCACTCCTAGCTGCAGATTTGATGCTTTCATACCAAGGTTTGCCAGTCGTCTGCAAGGATCTATCTCTTCTTCTGGTGGTTCTGTGAGGGAAACCCTGATTGTATCACCCAAACCATCCTGTATATCACAGAGAGGTCCTCAGTTCCATTTTGGTAACTAAACTCCTCTTCAAATTTCAGATGATTTTAGGTGTTACTTAAGTTCTATATCTAATGCAAAATAGAAAGTTTGCATAATATGTGCAGGATCTTTTTCCCCCTTTCTTTTGTCAACAAGGATATGCACAGGATCATGCAAACATGCTTAAATCAGTGCATACAACAAAGATGTAAGGAATTTAGAGAAAGATTTTTTTTTTCAAACATGAATAAGTGACACTTTCAAGTTTCAACAGGACCTTTCTAAGATAAGAACTGATATGATCTGTGGTCACTACATTGTGAATTAAAAACAAAGGATAATTCCAAGTGCAAAGGATAATCCCATCCTTGAACAGGAAAATGAGTACCTGAAGAAGGGTTCCAATTCCAATTGCGGATTTCATCCGCCCATCTTCACCCTCACCTGCTTCTGTAACTCCCAAGTGCAAAGGATAATCCCACCCTTGAACATACATTTCTGCTACAAGTAATCGATATGCTTGGACCATGATCACTGGGTTACTTGCTTTCATTGAGAATACAAAATTATGGTAATCTAACTTCCGACAAATTCTTGCAAATTCAAATGCAGATTCAACCTGTTTCAGCGTTAGGAGAAAGCATGACCTCAATGTCATCAAAATTCAGAAAGAAGCTGGTGAAGGTACAGGTTGAAAATTGCATAGCATGAACGATAATAGCAATTTACCATTCCCCTTGGAGAATCACCATAGTAGCTCATGATACGATCAGAAAGGCTTCCATGGTTTGTTCCGATGCGCATAGCCCTCCCATATTTCTTACATTTCTCCACTAATGGGGTAAAAACCTGGTGCATAACCAGTGGAAGAATCAATTTAAAAATCTAAACTACTAACATACAAAGATGGCATAAGAAAGCATTTTAACTACTGGTTATACTTCTTTTTTGGTGGAGACTACTGGTTATACCCTTATATCCATCTATTGCTGCAAATCTAGTTATACACTTATACCCATCTATTGGGACATTGGGAGAAACCTGCCTAAGCTAGTTGCGGAAGATTATACCAAGCTTGTATGGAAACCAATGGACATGAAGACAAGCATGGGAAGAACAACAGTGGTGACAGAAGACAATTCATGACCCTCTATTATGAGTAAATCCCTGATACTGATTATGAAAAGTTTGCAACATGAAAAACCATGCATATGCTAGTAATGTTTCAGGGTAGCCCAATACATTGCAAAGCATGATATTCTAATAGGTCCATTGATAAGAAGAGTGTCTCTAAAAATATGGATCTTATGTGCACTCTAAAATATATGCTGCAGGAAGTTGGGAAATCATTGATGAGATAAGCCAAGTTTTCTATAGCAATCCCAAACCCAAAATAGTAAAGAATTAAAAAAAATGCATATTTGGAAGCGAGTGTTTTTGGATTAATGCATGCTCAGAATTGAGTTCATAAGATACTGAATGAATTGACCTTCTCAATATGCTCCAGCTCCTTCTGATAGTCCTCCTCTGTGTACTCCAGCTTCTCAAACTGGGCCCGCCTATCAGCTGCAAGCAACTCTCTCAACAATTGCAGGAAGTAGCCAATTACATTGAAACAGTTGCCAGAGGAATAAGATGGACTAGTTACCAAAATTCCCTGGGTTTACACGAATCTTGTCAAAACACTCAGCAACTCTCAGTGCAACCGAAGGAGCAAAATGAATGTCTGCCACCAGAGGAATATTATAACTGCATAAACAAAAACTTTAGTGATGCAGATGACCAAGTATAAAACTTAATTCTTACAAAAGCCTTAAAATTAAAATACTGGCTTCAAAAAAAACAAAGAAAAGTAAAATACCTACTTCTTCTGAACAAGACTGTTTTTTATTTCAAAACAAGCATCTGCTTCTTTCTTCCCTTGAACTGTTATTCGCACAATATCTGCTCCCTTGTCAGCTATTCTCATTACCTGCTAGTTTATATGTAGCCCTTCAGAAGATATCAAAAAAAAAAGTTCTTGAAAATTTATAAAACACAATCATGACTAACAGTCATTCAATGCTTAAAATAACATCAAGGCCCCCACATCATTTCCACCAATTTAATTCATATTTTTATAGAATATGTGGTGGTACTCCTGTTCTACAGGAACAACTATATGGATCAGCAGGTCTGGGCTCTGGGGTTTGACTCCTAAAATTTTACCAATAAAACAAGATGGAAAGGCTAGCAATGTTATTTAAAAGAAAATATTTCATAAAGTTAATTTGATTAGAACTCATTTCCAAGGGTGAGATCCAGCCAGACATATTAGCTCTTCTTAATTGCATATATAGTAAATACTAAATAGCACACTTATAAAATAAAGGGGATTTAAAGAGTAGAGAATATTCTCCAAAAATAGCCAGAGAATACCTGTTTCTATCTTAATAACTTTATAATCTATCCTGTAGGCTCAGTTTGGAAAGAATACAAATATGTACAGTGCAAAACCTTGTTTATTGTCTTGTAAACCTTGTATTTTCACTGTACAAATTTGTATTTGTACTCTTCCCAAATTGAACCATAGGAGTAAATTGTAAGTAGTAAATGGGTTTTCTTTATCAAATATTTAACTATCTCCCATGCTGAAGAAGTCAACCTATTTCACCAGGCATGATGCAGGTAACTGATAGCACCATTTAGAAACACACTGTGAATATCAGAAAGGACATTGTATTAAGATGCTCATGATATATTACATCAAGACTAAATTTACATTTCAAATAAACTCTGAGATGGGACCACATTTCCAGTTTGAGAGATTTTAAGATTTTTGAATGTTAGAGAACCAATTCCAGCAAAATCTCCCACAAACATCCAGTATGTTATTAGCAAGATTCCAAATTTAGATATGTTGGATTTCATCTTGAGTTTAACTGTGGAAAGAATTATTAACTGATTTTACAGAGGGCAGTATCTTGGTAGATCATGGCAACAAGACCACTCTGCCCATTCACAATACCTGTAATCATTCTTTGGAAACCATACAAATAAATAGATGATATATCATTGGATAAGACGAAACACAAAAAAAATAGGAATTATATAGCTGACTACAGCTGCATGGAACAAGGCTTAAGATAATGATGATGTATAACTGGTAATGATCCAAAATTTTGATACTAAAGAAAGGCAACTTCTATGGTACCTAAAAAACTTAACCAATCATAAATTCACATGATTTTTTTTATGAATAAAAGACACATAAATTTGAATGAATACTAATTGATTGGTTCCCGATTAGATGATACCGGTTGATTGCTTATCAGTTTTATAGGAATGATACCTTTTCTGTACCATAGTGGAACTCAAAAAGAATAGCTATAGAAAGGAAATCCTGCTAGACATCATAAAATGTACTAACTTTGTAAAGAAGAAAATGTAATTTATAAGGTCCTCCTCACTCGGCCCATTGCAAGTAGAAAACATAGAAAATTTCACCCCTTATAAAAAAGTGAAAAACAAAAGAAAAAAAATCTGAAGTGGAAAATAAAGGAAAAAGAGTAAACCTGTTCTACAGTTGCAGCGACGTCCTTTGTATCAGTTGTAGTCATTGTCTGAATTCTAATAGGGTGTTCACTACCAATAGCCACGTTCCCAACCATAACTGTGCGAGTTTTCCTCCTGACAGTCTTGTGTAGAGATTCGCAGTACTTTTGCCTAGGAACTAAATTCAGCAAATAAGACTCATCAGATAAATATTACATCGGAAAAGTTAAAAAGTGAAGAGATATTTCATTTCAAGCAAAAGAAGGTGATTTGGTCTCTAAAGGTTTTATATAAGTAGCGTCGGAACTTCTAACTCTGCAGAATGGATAACTAATAGTTTGTAAAGCAAAGCATACAAAAACATTATTTTGAAACATAGGCAACTTAGAGGTAGAACATGAAAATTCAACATGATTGCAATAAGAATAATCCATGGAAGGAAACGAGTTTCCTAGAAAATTGATGTTTATGAGAATCGTAAGTAATTTTGAACACCCTGTGGCAGAAATTCACCTGCTTGTCATTCTTTGAAGATACACGCTATGAAACGGCGACTAACTAGTTATCAAGTGACTATATTACTAAATTAAAGACGCAAAGATAAATACCTAAGAGGGGGCTTCCCTCTGAAGTAGGCTGCAACTCAACGGTTTCTGAGCCAGAATTTGAGTTCCTAATGGTCGATACTTTGGATCTCCGAGACTTAACTCTCTGCAAATCAGAAACCTTTACGAAGTCCACACTTTTTGTAAAGCTTAATCCATAATCCCTAATCTTGGGACCAGAAAATGAAGCTGGAACAGATCCGGTCGCCATTTCCTTGAAGCCTCAGCCTCACCTTCACAGTTTAAATAAAACAAAATAGGATAAAACCAGTGAACCTGATCCTATATTGACAAGGATATAAACAATTAATACATCTGAAACTTTTGACAGAAAATTGAAATTTGATTTTATTATCAGATAATTCAATGCATAAGATAAGGTGCTGGTTGTGCTTCAAAGTTCAGGATAAAGTAAAATCCGTCGGGAATTCTAGAGCCGGAGACGAAAAGAAGCGGATTATAGGAACTCTAAAAAACATCTTTTACAGTAAAGCTAACCTTTAGAAGCTGGTTGTCAGTTAAAGAACATCAGATTAGAGGTTAATCCTCGATTCCAATACGAAATCAATAAATACACAGCGAAGTGCTTCTTAAAGGAGATTGAAACACTGACGAAGAAAAATATGCTCCGTGTCGGACAGTTTATGAAGCGAAACGAAAGGAGGCAAATCTATCACTACTACAAATACTAGGCAATTTCCGTGGTATCAAAAACTAATATTATTAAGAATATTTCTGGTTACCTCAGAGATAATTTTTCCTGCACACGGAGAAACTAGAAGAAAACTAACGGTCCAATTCGAACGGAAGGATCTGGAGAACAAATTCGTGGCGGACGGAGTTTCAGAGATTCAGTGGGGAACGAAAAGGATTGGAGAAGGAAACATTATAAATAATCTTGACCATTGACAGTTGGGAGCGAGACCGAGCAGGAAAAGCGGATGAAGACAAGTCACGATTTTATGGGCTTATGGGTTTGGCAAATTTTAACTGGTCAGGCCCGGAACGGTATTAAAGAATTTTTGCATGCAGAAAGTGCAGCCATCTGTCGTAATTCGTAAAACATGAGTCAATCCCTTGTGTCCTGTTCCAGTGTTTCGGTATGTTAGGCAGTTAGGCTAGCTATATGCCTGTATCGGAATTCGGAAAGAAAGAAATGAACCGGGTCCGCCGGTCCGGGAATTTATAAGTTAAAAGTTAAAACAAACCTTCCACCTTAGCTCACCCGGACCGGCGCACTCCATCGGTTTTCGCCTTTCGCCGTCGGGGTAAATATTCTGAAATTCGTAATAGGATATTCCGTCAACCGCGGGAAAACGACTGCGAGAGGGAGGATGAACGAACCGATGATAATCCAAATCAAGTGTAATGTAATGTTTTACTTGTTTAATATTAAAATTCAAAATTTTGACAATAAATCGTTAAATAAAATAAATTATAAATTAAATATAAAATCATATAATTTTTAATAAATTGAGTTCCATCACATGTCTAAAGCCTTAGTGATGATTCTTATCTCCAATGATATAATAAATCCGAAATCCAACTAATTACGTATATCACAAACTTCTGATGTAAATATATTTGTATTAGCGCTCTCACTCTTTCTCTCTCTCTTTCATGCTCTTCAGCATCCCAAGAGTAAGAGAAATAAGAATAATGAGTAATGAGTATAACACTTAATAAGTGACATTTCATCTCTCCAATAACATCAAATGTGTAGAAAAATAATAATGCTAACAACAATAATGATTCATAAAATTCATATATTATCCATAAGATAAACTTTAAAACAACTTAATACATTTTGGAGAAGAATAGTCACATGTTGAAAAAACAAGCTTTCCAATAGTTTGCAAAATCATAAGAAGAAGCTGAATGGAATACATGTCATGTGTTGATGTTGATATATTCAAATTCAAATTCAGAATGGCAAAGCAATTTCACATGGTAGATTATGACCATTTTCACCTAATAATAAGAGACTATATATCTGCCCTGTGGTAAAGGCCTAAGTTCTAAATGGACTAGTCCAAAATGCTTTTGTATTCATCCTCAATGACAGGGTCCAGAGTCATATATTATTAGAATATAACAGATACATCAATCCACACACAAATCTCACAAAGTGTCAAATAAGTTTTGAAATAGCTATTAGTGTATCACCATAGTCAACAAAAAATAGTATCTCATTTATATTCTGAATTCATCACATACATGAATCCTAATTCAAATAAACATAGACAAATACATACATACATACAAACATAATTGGAAGACGAAAAATCACTTACTCAACACATTGAGTCCAAAGTACCAATATAAGTGAGTCACAGTATGTCCAAAAGCCTATAAATCAATAAATAATTATTATAATCAGTTTCAAAATTAATATTGATAAATTTATGATGTAAATGCTTCTAACTTATTATATCAGTCTATCTAAACTTCAAGTAGTTTACAAACTGAGGTTTTGAGACTCCCAAATTTCTAGTTTTTAGCTTGCATGTTTACAAGACCGAACTTTTGCATTTAGAATATACACTCCAACCACCTAAAAAAAATTATTATTCAAACATAAACTTCCCACAACATATTACTATTTAGAATAGAGTTCATTCAAAAATATCACAAAATGATTGATTTACGATAACTAAGGTTGTAGACCAACATTCCCAGAATTTCCAAATTTACTAGACCCATAACTTTAAGCTCAAACATCTATTTTGCAAGTGTGACAAATTTCCATGAAGGTCTCATGGTATATTGCAATTTAAACATCACTCCCGGCCAAAGAGATCATTGGATGACCCCTTTTAATAGCATGAAATCATCTTATTACTAAAATTTTCCTAGATTAACGTATTTAGGATACCAATTTTGAAAAAAAAATCATAACTTTTAGTACAAAAGTCCAAACGAGGAGTTCTATGTACCGTTAGGATCTCGTTGAGAACTGCAATTTAGAACCAAAATTTGCTTAAAAACATTGCCTTAATGTCGGTTTCCGGTGGCCTAAATTTGGATGATGTCCAATATGTTTCAATCCAAAATTTAACCCAACTCTCCTTCCACAAATACATAAGACACAAGGTTGGATTTGTTGGAATCCTAATGACAAGGTCTCTATTAGAACTACTTTCTTTGTCAGAGAGTGGCTAGAAAATAATTGTCCAACAAAAAAATCCTAATTTTAAGTTTAATACACAAGAAAATGAAAAACAAAAACTCAAGAGAAAAAAAAAAAGACTTGCCTAAAGAGCGATTTGATGCCAAAGAATCATTGAGAAGTAAAGGCAAGGTTCAGTACATCTATCCCTCCCTAGACCTCGCATTGGTGGGATCCTCGTGCTAAATCAATTTCAAAAATAGATTGGAGATGCTTGGGGTAGTGATTCATATGAAGAAAATTTTGAAAAATAAACATTTGGGTCAAAGGTAACTACATGCGTAGTTAGGACATTTTTGTGCCTCTTGTTAGAGGATTCTAAAAGAAGGGGCCTACTTGTAGCCGTATTAGAAAGTTCAGGGGAGGTGATTGCAATTAGGAAACTTTAGAGAAGGTTTCATCAATAGTCAAAAACTTCGGGGGGGTTTCAGCAAGTTACCCAAAATTTTAATTAAATCTACATTTGACATTTCAATAATGGAGGATATGTTTAAGTCTAGTAGGTCAGCCCATAAGGTATATTTAAGTTTATTTTAAAACCTTAAGGTATGTTTAAGTCTTTTACCCTATACATTATTAGAGATGTGCTGAAATGTTCTTTTGCAAAATTTATGTACCTTTTCATAGTTTGTATATGTATCTTTTTTAATTTTTATTATTTAATTATGGCCCACCACCAAAAATTAAAACGATTTCATGTTGGGTTTAAATTTTGTATTTTATTTCCATCATCAATAAAATAATTATTGCTTGTCGTATTTATTTTCTTCAATATGATTAATATAAAATATTTGAGATTTGCGTACATATTTCTTTTTTTGTATTTATTTATATTTAAAAAATTATTATTTAACTATGACATCATATTTACTTGCTATTTAGATGGAAGAATGATTTTGTTTTTGGATCAATTTAAAAAAAAATGGGGTTTATTTATTTAAAAGTATTGGAAATAAATCTAATTAATAGAATTTATTAATAAAAAATACCTCAAATATAGAACTTAACTAGAGAGAATGAGAGCTAATATTTTAAATATAAGACTTAATGAGAGAAAATTAAATAAGGTGAAAGGTAATAGTTCAAATTACTTTTTAATCCTCAATTAAAGAGGGACTAAATTCAGAAGCGGTATTTCAGTTAGGAGGAACAATTCCACACCCTCATTTGTGCATTTAATAGTAGTATAAATAAATAGGTAGAGATTGGTATAGGATAAGTTTTAGTGATTGTCCAAAAATCAAAGAGTGGTTTAGATAATTTCTCTATTGGAGTTTAGGCTTAGACAAAAGAACATGTGTGTGTTGTAACAAAAAAAGAAACAAAAAAGGATAATTACTTATATATAGCTTTAACATTTGAGAAACTGCTTATATATACCTTGAACTATCAAAAACAACTTATACATGCCTTATTGACCTTTCAAATGTTAACTCCAACTGATAAAACTTAAAGAACTGAATTGTCCTTTAACGGTTGATTAAATTTTCAAAACATACCATTTTCTCCTCTCTTTTTCTTCTTTTTCGTTTTTCATTTTTTCCTTCTTCCTCGGCTATGTATTAGAAATCCTAATACGACTGGAAATCTCTAATTGAAGTTGTCATTGTCGAATAAGAATTTCATAAAGTGGACTAGGAGTTTCAAAGAGTAGCAAAAAATCTCCCCACTCTGTGTTGAATCCAAGAACATCATTGATCACTCACTTCTAGACAACATGATCAAATCTTTCTTCACCATTGCTGTCGTCCTTCTAGCCAAGCTTAGAAGCCCCTAATCTTGTTTATAAGGCTGTGTTTGGTTTGAAGGAAAAGGTAGGGAAACCTATACAGGTTTTTATAGGTTTCCCTACCTTTTCCTTCAAATCAAACATAGCTTTAAGGATGTCTACGATGTCTGTAGAGTCAACCAAGACCATTGTCAGGAAGTTCGCCTAGATGTTAAAAAAACATGGCCTTTCCCTACCTTTCCCTTCAAATCAAACATAGCTTAAAGGATGTCTACAATGTCTATAGAATCGACCATGATCACTGTCAAGAAGTTTGCCTAGATGTTAAAAAATTAAAAACCATGGACTTTGCCATTTACTTTTTTAAATCCGAAAGAACGTCTCTTCTCGTTTGCCTACTATGATCTGATCTAGAGGTGTAAAATGGGCCGTACCGGGCCAGCATGGCATGACCTGATTTACACCTCTAGTCTGATCAATAATGGAATATGTTCCATTTTATCCCTTTTCAAAATACTCATAGTGCTCTTCTTTTAGATGAGTTTTTTACATGATGATGCTGAAGCCCAAATTCTTGGGTCCAATTAATGCACAAGATAAAAAACGAAGCTGAAACCATGTAAAACCTTATCCCTCAAGACTAGTATGTTTAGATTTAACAATGAAAGAAATAGATGCTACGAGAAACAATAACAACAAAGACAGATTTTTTTTTTTTGTCAAAAAGAATAAATAAAATCTTGAAGCCAAACTAGGGTTCAATTTGGAAAGAATACAAATACAAATATATACAATACAAATACATACAAAATAATACAAATGTATTTATAAAATAATATGGAGTTTGAACTGAAACAAAACCAAATATTCAATTTCTAGGTTATGGGTTTTGGCTTTCTGTCATAGAATGTGGAGCAATGTTGGTATTATGAAAGAATTTAGAGTAAGCTATTAAGGGCTCTAAATGATGCACTGAGGGTGAGGGTGGTCCTATTTATGTTATGTGAGGGCGGTAAACAAGACATGTATAAGTTGTTTTTAGAAGTTGAGGTATATACAAGAAGTAGTTTCTATATATATATAATTATCCCTAAAATATGTACATGGTGTGTGAAACATGTTGCAAATGCTTCAATTTCATGCTTGATATCTCTTAGAATTAATCAGTTAGAGGACAAATAAACACAATGTTGTCAAATTTGTGTCATTCACAAATCCAAAAAGGCGTGTGAAACATGTTGCAAATACTACCCACAACTAGATTGGTCCAATGACCCATGACATCATATGCATAAACATTGATATATTATACATATTATATAGTTGTGGTTGGAGAATTGTCAATATTGGATGATTACGCTCCATTTAATGAATTCTACCAGCTTAAATAATTATTAATTAGAATCTCTTAAGTGCACAAAGGAATAAAAGGTGGCATATGAAAAACGTAGCTTGTATATAGTAATGAATCTGGCACCATGAATCAATGGATGTGAGAGAGAGAATTTTAATAACGGTCTTTGATGGTGTGCGATTTGAAAGCTCTTAATTGGAAAGTCACTTGGATGTTGGTCACTTCGTGAGTTAGCTCAAATTGCAAGAAAACGGATCAAAGAACCTGGGGTGGCTAACTCGGTGAGGTCACTCCGATGCTTAAATTAGTATTGTATTCTGATAGCGAGTTGAAAGCTTGAACGCAAATAGCTAGTGAGCAAGTAATCACGTGTATCCTATGCTATGGGGGTTAATGCCCTTATATAGTTGGGCTACCGTGAGCCCCAAAGAGCCTCTCCAGGATCTTCGGATTGAGTAGTAGGAGTTCGTTCCGTTTTGGAAGGTGGCCAATGTACTAGCTGATAAGGTTTATCATGTCCATCTGATTCAGGCGGAATGAGGATAAGGACTATGGTTACGCGGCATTATCCCAAAGGGCTCAGGGACAGCTGGCGAGCTTCTAGAATCTGTTATGTGTCACCTCGGCGCATGCGGTCACCGAGGTCCCCTGGCTTCGACACTATCCGAAGTGACTGAGGTACCCGAGGTGCCCTAGTTTGCCGATGTGACAGTGAGTGTTGAGTCATTACCAGACTGGCAGGTTGCACCCACATGTCCTCTATTTATCAAGTCGGGCCAAATCACCCATCATCAATCTTATTATAAATAGTAATGATGGATATCATTAAAGAAAATAAAGACTCAAGTCCTAAGAAGGCTTTATTGTAACTTTTATATTTTTAATAATTCAATTAAAAGTTGATGACCTTTGTTTTGGTAATCAAACGAACAAAATAGAAAACCGCATATATGAGAAATGAGTTTGTATGAACTGTGGGGAGAAGGCCCTTCACTTTCCTCTACTTCTCTTTTATTTTCTATCACACCAAAGACAACCTTATATGATAGAAGCTCGGAGAGGAAACTTACCAGTTCAACACTCCCTGTCTTGACAGTCATTTTGATCAGCAAATTCCAATTTGGAGGATTTGAGGTGGGAGAGGGGGGTCCAATGATTTATTTTAGGGAAAAATTCCACTTTAGAACCCTGAACTTTGGGGGTAGTGTCAAGTTACCCGAGCTTTCAAATGTGTCACTGCAGTACCTAAATTCTCAAAAAGTGTCAAGTTGGTCCCTGTTGTTTACCGACCGTCAGTTATTTATTGAAAATGTCAAAACTATCGTTCAAAAGAAGATGCTGTTCATTGTCTTCTACCTTGAGACTGAACCAGTTATCTTCAAAGAAAAAGAGAGAAAAATATGAAATATGATAAAGAGAAACAATAACTAAAAGTAAAGAAATAACTAGACAAGAATGTGTTTTAGATCTAAAAGTAGAAGACAATGACTTCATTAATCTAGAATCTCAACCTCAACCAGTTCAGCCTCAAAGTAGAAGGCAATAAACAACATCTTCTTTTGAAGGGTAGTTTTCACATTTTCAACAAATAACTGGCGGTCAATTAACGGCAGGGACCAATTTGACACTTTTTGAAAGTTTAGATACTATGACATGTTTGAAAGTTAGGGTACTAACTTGACACTATCCCCAAAGTTCAGGGTACTAAAGTGGTATTTTCCCTTTAATTTATTGATTTATTTATTGGTTAAAGGGGACCAAGGAATCGAGGAAAGATCCAACATCCGGCAGCTGATATGATTTAAGGTACTCCGAAATTGTTGACCGAGGTTCAGATGGATGGCCTGCATTAATGGAGTTCGGATCTACTGACCACACCACATTGCTGGCCATGCTCATCCAGCTGCACATTGAGAATATTGGCAACGACAACACAAACCAATGTTCCATATGTGCGGCTGGGTGAACGTGGTCAGCAATATGTTGTGATTAGCAGATCTGGAATTGCATTATCTTTGGGCAGCAATGATTACGGCATTATCTTGATCAAAAATATATATATTTTTTTCTTTTGATACAACAATCAATAACTTCTTTATTGCTTATAAAGCCACAAGGATGAAAATGTAGACTGTTTTTATACAAATATTTACAACAGAGGCTTTAATTATATCAGTTACAATCTTGTCCACCTAAAGATTGGACCGTCTTTAAATACGACATTCTCAGTAACTTGTTTTTTTGTCAAGGATTCAACACTAGGAAATCCTGTAGAATTTGCTCCAATATTATCACGCAAGCAAATAGCCCTACCCCAAGAAGTGCAGGCTTTGCATGGTAGAGTATCTTCTGTTTACTACCTTCCCCTCTGCTACCAATGCATGAACTTGAGCGCATTACCCACGCCATTGCTGGTGGGAGGATTCCATAGAGCAGTGTCATGCAGTAACCGCCCTAATGTACATTCAACAGTTGATTAAGAAACCCAAATCAAGGTTCTCTTAAATTCATTAAATAAAGAAGCACTACCAGCCCCTAAAGAGCTTAAACCTATTGAAATAGTTAGATTGTAGAATGTCTGAAGCTGCAGTAAAGATATGTGCTACTATGTTTCTTTTTCCCTCTTGATAGGACCTCTTTTTTATCAGTACCTCTTTGTTGGACCTTAAGAGGTGTTTAGGCCTTTTCAAATGGAAATATCACATACATACTCAAGCCTATTCCTTTTACTTACAGCAATGTCAGTGGCGGTATAGAATGCATCTGGAACAGTGCTTGACACAAACAGAGGCGGAGCAACAGCCATTGCTGTTGCTGTGAAGCTAAGCTTGTTACTACTCCACCACTTTCTCAGGGAATAAGGCATAATCTCATCTTTCAAGTCACTTGACATTTCATTTCCTTCAGATTTCTGCAACAATAAGTCAATAACTATTACCATCATCAATTAGTGCTAACCAAAAAGAATATGGTAATGCCAAATGCACGAGAAAGAATTGTAGACATAAAGGATGGATGAATTGATGGATAAATAGATAGATAGGGTAAAGTGTTAATTACATGTATTTTGGTTGATGGATGGTGCCATGAAAGATTATTGAGCTGCTCCACAAAGAACTGAGAGAATCCAAGTAGAGTGCCTATCAATGAAGTTCCTACTGCAAGAAGTGAAAATGCTTCTACCATAACTGAGATGCCGCTCCATTCAACTCTAGACCAGAATAAACATGCTTTGAGGTGTTAGCTAAGCTTTGGGACAAAAGCTTATCAACTGGATGGCCACAGTTAAAGTTCTAAAGACCATGCTCACTCCAAAATTCCTGTCGTCACAGGAATTTTGCAAGTACAACTTGAGCTCTTACATAGACAACTATTTTATAACTTATTAGAGCTGTATTGGATTCTTTAGCAGGAAGTAGAAAAGTGGGATAGAAAAGACTCCAAAATCTGATAACCTTGAATGTTAATGCCATTTGGCTCCAAAAGGCATGCTGCAACAGAACTCAGAGAAATGGATTTTTGGATGCTTCTTTTGTCATTACAATGGAAAATAGAATGACTGGGGGGAAGTCATTCCAATATTCACCGAATCACAGATTCAGTATCACTTCTTCATTTCCATCCCCTAATACAATTACAGCCTAAGAGGATCTTCTGAGGCATTCAATCTAATTTAGAGATTTAACTACCTTATTAGCAAATCCACAGGATCAAGAACCCCATCTGCTTTGGTTGAAAGACCAAGTGCAATTGCATCCCAGATAAGCAGGGAAAACAATGGGACTAGACTACCAAGAATGAAAGATACCCTGATACGTGTGAGATCGCCATCCAGGTATGCACAAATAACTGCAAAAATATAAACCATCATAATTCACATGGCAACACCTAGTGTGAGATGAATCCATGAAATTCAACTCTATGTTTCATCGGCACCTGGGGCTAGATCATGATAGACCAAAGAAAAGATGATCACAGGAATTGTGGATGGAACTTTCCCCCAGTTGCCTGATGCCTCTAATCCCGACCACCCTCCAGATAACACAGCCAGCACCTCAATTGCTACAAGTAAACCTGTAAATCCCTTTCCTCTTATCAGAATACGCGAATACATATATGAGTTTTAAGTAAGACCCACGAGGATGAAGAATAAAAGTATGGAATGCGCAAAGAAAAGGATACAACTAAAAAGGCATGTATAGTTAACATTGCTGACACACACACCTATCATGGAGGAAGTTAGCCATTGATTGACTTGGTCAGTGGCCTGGGTCCCACCAATGGATATGAGAATGGTGAAGAGCGAGGTGAAGAAGATACCCGAGATTGTTGTTGGTAAGTTGATCAAATGATAGAGAATTTCCCCTGATTTGGATGTGTACGCCACCATAGAGGTATAAGCTAAGAAAATATAACTGACAGTTGCTAGAGTTCCACCCCATTCTCCAAGTGTCTCTTGAGCCATGGTTCTTATGGAGATAACCCCTGGGTCTCCTTGCTCCCTTCCCTTCTCCCTCCTCCTTCTCATCAGACCCACATTTATCTCGGCAAGCAAGAGGGCTTCAACGAGAAGAAATATCCAACAAACAATTATAGATACTGCACTGGGGACGAATCCCTGCAATGCAGAAATGAGCACAGGCAGCTTACTAGTTGCTAGCATTATTATATTTAGGTATGATAATGAGAAAGAGTGTCCACAAGATAATACATACAGCAGGGGAAGTCCTCTTTGGAAGAGCAAGTATTCCCGAGCCGATACTGGTTCCGATAATCAGACTTACTGCACCGAGCACGGTTCCCTTTTTGTCGGACGCTTCGATTGACTCTTCTCTTAGTTGCATACTACTACTTTTTTTGGGCTTGGTTATGAACAGCTTCAGTTTTCCAGTAACGGGTGTCCGCTTCTGATGTTGCTCATGGCCGGAACAACCATAGTAGCTGCTGCCAGCAGAACAGAAATTCATGGTAATTGGAAAATTGGTGGAAGCCACTAAATAATTCAGGCAGACGTACATAGGCACGCTAAGCCTAAGAGGAATACATACTAAAATAAGTCAGGCAGACGTACATGGCTTTGAAGCAAATTGAAGCACTGCCCTCTTGACGATTCCAAGCCCATGGCCGTGGAGGATATTGATTCTTACATCGGTGGCCTATGAGATGCGACGAGAAAATTACCTTTGCCTCCATAGCTGATAGCTGTATGTGTTTGTGAGATGAGTGAGTGTGTGAGCGAGAGAGGGAGAGAAGGGGAGAGAGATCTCAGATAGATAACCAACAACAACTACAAGAAAGCCAAAGACAAGAGAATGAAAGAATGAGTGATAGAGTATAAAAGCACGTGCCCAAGTATCTGGGAAGAAGGCGGGTCCCACGACTTGCATATGATTGGTTATTCGCCTAGTCGGTAATATGAACAGCTTTTGCTGAAGAAGTGAATAGTCACTCTCACTCGGCGTCCTTTCCGGGGTATGCTACCTACCGATCACCATTCAGTCATTCACCAGCTCCTTGCGGGGCAGCCCTTTGTCGATTCAGGTTGTTCTGAAAATTGAAATCATGAAAACAAGGCCAATCTTTATCGGCCTCTTTGCACATCCCATGTTTTATTTTTCAAAAGGCTGAGATTTTCTTTAAAATTTTCCCTTTTCCTTTTGCCTGCCTAAATTCTTTCCGTCCATAGAATGACCTGCCACAGAAGGGAAGGGTGTTTTGAGTGGGTTTAGTCATTAATAACATCAGAAAGCAACAGTTCAAATGTTGAATGACCTGCCACCAAGACAGAAAGTTCGAAACAAATGACATCTATGATTTGGGTGGATTTCTGGATCTCTTAATTTGCTTTTATTTTTGTAAAGATACCCGAGTACTGCAATGGAAGAATTAGTGTAATCAATACTCACGAGATGCATGCATGATGTATGATGAATCTTTCCTGCTGGCTGCTTCTCTTTTTTTTTTTTTTTTCTTTTTTGGGTAATTTTTCCCGATGCTCTTGAAGAAACCTTACCGAGGATTTTGCACGGTTGCACCCAGATAGAACGCACTCACTTTCTTCAGATCCGCCTTTGGATTGTATGAATTGAGACAGTAATAGAGTCAGCACATTCTAGATATTCAATAAATGGGCCTTATTTTCTGGAGCCCAATAGTTGGTCTATTTTGCAAATACTGTATCTATGTCGTTCATTTTAGCCATAAAGCCGGCAGGAACAGGAGTTGGACTGCATGCCTGAATAAACCATATGAACAGAGAGTAATAAAAGACGCTAACATAATAAAAATGCAGTGTAACGTAAAGTATGAATACACAGATGTCTCTGGATGGGTTTGTAGTGTAGGACCGTTGTTGGATAAATAGGATACATGTTTAAATGCTCAAATATGAGAAGAACACAAATACTATTTTCCCTTTCCTACGAGATTAAGCAAGCCATAAGCATTCATAAATAAAGGAGCGTGGCTATGATGAAGCAAATCCAAAATTAGCATGGAAATTCTAATAGCACAGGAAGGGTAGGTGCACTTGGGGTGCCAGTGCAGCTTCTTCATCGGTTTGCATGCTGAGAAAGTTTATGCAAAGCGGATTGGTGTTTAAAATGAATTAACCCATCTCCAAGTATAGTGAACACGACCAAGGTAGAACTTAGCCTACGTTAGAAGTCATACGGCTGCAGACTGGAAGGAATATCCTTCTATCCAGGTAATAACTCAAACTTATCATCATCTGGGATCTGGCACATGGGGTTTCATTGGTATACCTCATTCAATTGTCTCACTCAATGGCTGCCACTGAAATAAGCAGACTTGATTATGAATTCCGTGAGTTGAATGCCCAACAATCATGTACCCTGAAAGGATGGCAAGACAATTCAGTTTAATAAATGTGTATATTGATCCATCTGCAGCAGCATTCAAACAGAGCTCCTTTCATTCTTGTATTGTTTCTCTTGTACATTTGGGAGTTTTGGTGGCTTTTTGACTCTCATCCAAAGAAGCACTTTGGAATCTTAGAAAAAAGACTAGGGTCAGCTGAAGGCCATGGAGGTATCTCAGATTAAGGGAAAAGGAAAAAAGAAGAAAAGAAGACACATACAAATGTGTAATACATAAGAATGTACATGATTTGCAAATACATTACATTCACATATCATATCAAGGATATATAGTGTTCCACTTAAGGCTGTCAAAGATAACAATTATATAATAATTAATATTTTCAATATTTCATTTTTATATAAATCTATTATATAATTTAAAAAATAATTATTTTTAAAAAACTTATTTTCTTTATCTTAATACACAGTAAAGCAGATTTGGATTAAATCTGAATACAATCGGAGTCTGATATATTGAATGTCAGATCTCAGATTTGAAGTTTCAATAATTGGATTGGGTTCAGATGTGGCTGGATCCAATCCAAATCTGATCCTATTACAACCCCCCCCCCCCTAGTTCCACAAATCTGATAACACTGGATAAGACAACTCTAATCTGAGTCCCACCAAGCCTAACAGACTTTCTGAACTCATAAATACATTATCAAATTATCGATAGAAAACACTAGTATAAAACCACTGTCATCTTTATGATTCTAACACTCATTCCAGCAACACCCCCCCCCCCTCTCTCTTTCCACCCCCTGAAAAAAGGGGGAATGTCCAAGAGCATGGAAAAAGAACCGTGGAACCGCATCCCTGAACAGTAAAAGGTTATGGTGGCATAGAGTTGATGCAAAAAAAAGGAATACTTTCCACCCTTGCCTTTTGCTAGACTATCTGCAACCAAATTGAGCTGTCGCTAAAAAAAGCAACACAAGCTCCAAATGTCTCTTACCTCATTCCAGTCCCTTATTGAGCTGTGTTGAGCCACCTAACAGCCACCCTCACCAGAAATCTGTTTTATCATTAATGGCAACAAAAGAGATTTCATTAAAAGTAGAGGAACCCCTACTACCAGGACGTGACAATAATGATACTTTTTGCCAGCTTTTATTGTCCTGCCATCCTTCTTTGACAGTTCTTTATCTAAAATAATGCCTTCAAGCTTGCAAACTTGGGCTAGGTTTAAGATTCTAAACTTGTTCCAACACAAACTTCGCCTGGAATTAGACAGTTTAACCAGGCCTTTGACTGGAACCTAGGGCTACCCTGAGTTCAAGGCTTCAGGCTTGGGCTGGAAGGGATAAATCAGGCTAAGCTCAAACTGTCTCTTCATGGACCAGCTCATACAAAGCAAATGCCTATCATGCATAGCATTGCAGCAACCACAAAGAACTACACTATCAGAGAAGATATGCAGTAAAAGCATCAGCAAGTTAATAATTATAATACACCAGAATGACACATTAGAAAACTGTTGAAGTGAAGAAACCAGACCTCAAGGAAGCTCGTTAACCATTTTTTCCATGGTAAACCAGACTTTCATTGTCAACTGTCAATTCCTCCACCTCCACACAAGTTGCAAAAATCTTTCATAACCAAAAATAAAAAACAAAAAAAAAATGTTATATACAGGTCCATTCAACCCCAAATAGTTTTGGATAAGGCTAAACCAGTTTGATTGATATATACAGGCTCACAATTGCAAATAGTTTCAAAGGACAGAGATGTGTAACAGAACATTATCCTGTATTAAAAGAAGTCCATATGTTAACAGAACAAAAAAACTGTTTTAATTCAGAAGGCCCAATTTTTCTCCCTGTCTTATAACCAGATGATCTAACAAATCAACAGGTATGCCATGACCCATGAGGATTACTAATACCTGCGCCTCAGCAAGCTCATTAAAAGAAAGGGGAAAATGAAAAGTATGGTTAACTTATGCTTGCACAAGAATCTTACACATGAGTAGATGGTTGTAGGCCCCATTCTGGTTATCCGGCATTTATGTGAGAAACTTATAAGGCCGAAATTACTGAATTATTTGACATGTGACTAACTAATTTAGAGGGCCCCCCATCTGGACAGTCTGGATCATCCGCATCATCTCTCCACATGGTATAAATAGAATAATTCATGTAGAGATCCCTAATTTACCTGATTAGAAAACCTTTTTTAATATAAGATTAACTTTTATATTATGGTTTTTTAGTGTACAGATATACTTTTTGCATAGTCCACTCTTGAAACATCACCCCATACAATCAGGGTAAAGTCCAAATAACATGCCATTGAAATCAAAAACCAAAGAGGTAAGTTCCTGAGCCAATTCCAAATTTCTGAACACTGGGGGAGGGGGGGACACTAAAGTATGTACCATATGTTACATGTTCCTCTGTTAGTTGCAAAAATTACTTTGATAAGCAACAGAAATGATTCAGTAAATAAACAGACCAGCCTGCTCACAAAAGGAGCAGCAAGCCAAGAATTACAAGAAAAGCTCCATATAATGAAGCACTAGACAGCAACAACAGAAACAATACAATACAAGAAAAAAAAAGTAACAATTACAAGCTGTTACAAATTGCTCCCAGGCCCTGGACAACCCCATTCTAGATGACTTCTTAGAACCCCAGCCCTCTATTGACACTCCTTGGTACCCAATTGAATGAGCTATTCAAAGTGGTGGCCACAGATATGAATGACAATGGGGTGGGTTTGGGGAGGGCTTTGTAAATTTTAGACCTTACCTCCCCAAACCTCCCAGCCCATACCATCCCCAAAACCTGCAGCAGGTTGGATTTTCAAAATCTAAACCCTCCTCACACATGAATATGCAAAACCCTCCCTGACTGTACCTTCCCCACATTCGAGGGTGGGGCGGGTTGAGTTGGCAGGTTGGATCTAGAACCCACATCTGATTTCCTTTTATTTTTTGTCATATATAAACAAACATCAAAATTTCCAATTATTGGATTGAAACATGTAGATTTAATTGTCCTTCACATAAGATCCAAAGAATTATTAAACTCAACATATAATACATAAGTTTATATGCCTTACAACAATAACTTAGGGGGCGTTCTACAACATGAATGTTTTTGTTTTCATTTGTTTTAGGAATCGCCACATCAGAAAAAAAAAAAAAAAAAAAATTGAACTCTGTTTTTGTTTTCAAAGTGATAAACAAGTTGGTTTTGTTTTTCAAAAAACAATACATGTTTTTGGAACCAACAAAATATTGGTTTTTAAAACAAAGACAGATTTTCTAATATAGAAATTATATGATTTGTACAACATGATGTTGAATAATCAGATGAAAACATGTTTCTGAAACCATATTCAAGAACATATTTTTGGTTTCAATTTTGAAAACAAAAAAACATGCACACAACCAAGAACATGTTTCTTGTGTTTTTGTTTTAAGAAACCATCTATTTTCAAACAAGATCATCTTGATTTGTTTTTGGAACTGGAAACAAGAAAAACAGTTTACATTGTAGAACACCCCCTTAATTATAAGCACTGGGGGTATTAAATCCAATATGTGGGTCAGGGAGGGTCGGGCTTAGGCTAATACCATTCCCTACCCATACCCTTATGGGTTGTAAAATTCCAAAAACTTGTTCCTGCCCCAACATCCATTCTTCAAAAAAAAAAAAAAACATTCTGTCGGGGAGGGTAGGGGTGGGTACCTGTGGGGTAGGGTGGAATTTGTCATCCCTAGCCACAGATTGCACCTGTCTCACCATTGGCCAAAAAGTTGTAAAACCACTATTGAAGAAAAAGAACTCTCCAAAGTACAATTCAGGTATGGAAAACATTTCATATCCAGCACGTGAACCTGAAAATTAAGACTAGATGATTCAGGAAAAAAAAATTATGAAGGCTAACATAACTGCTTTAAAGAATGTAAAAGGTTTAAATAAACAGTGACCTCATTAATAAATACTGCCACTCCATTAATATAATGGTTTACAACGTGCCATCAGCAAAGCTAGCTCAGTGGGTTTAAACCATATACATCTCCACATCCCATGCATCTCAAGATAATATACAAGCAATAGAGAATTTGAAATCTGCCCAAAATCATTGGTGGGAAAACTTGTTTAGCTCCTTTCCTAGCTTATCAGTGATTTCAGTCTTTCTAGGTTTTATCATCTGGTCTGTTAGGGATAATATATCACATCCACCATTGAGGTCAAGAAATTTTCCACATGCAGATCACATAGTGCTGTATCCTGAGGAGAAGGAAATAAAACTAATATGTTAATACTTAACATGAAATACCAGCAAAAAAAATCATAAGTAAAACTATAGTATGCCCAGGCTAGAAAAAGAAAACTAAAGCTTCCAACTCATTAAATTGTGTTTGCTCTCCTTTCCCTTCTTGGTGCAACCATAAACACAGGATGGAACCCAACTGCAGAAAGAATTGCCTTGTGGGTCCAATCTTATCACCTAAAGAATCAATATATCATCAAGAGTTCCAGCCTCTAAATATAGACACATCATAAACTATATAGCATGCATTAAACACCCAACCTGGAGAAGGATTCTTTGTTCTCTTAAACACATAATTCATTGATTATTAAAGACAAAATGAGTTATTCTAGCATGGATTGAAAACTAAGTTGAACCACCTCTTTTTCCTTTAGGAAGTGGAATATACACTTCAGCCTCAAAGGTCAAATTTTGTAGAAAAAGACTCACTTCTACCCACTCTTTTAACAGCTCCATTATTTGTCTCAATAAATACAAATAACCAAAGGCAACCTGAAGTTGCAAACTTGCAATAGGGATTTCATGAGGGACTGGACAAAAGACACTGAATGTATTTTAAAATCTGAACATGCATAAGCAGTGCAGTAGTCAGTGCCCAAACAGCCTGGATAAATAAGAAAATGCTCAAATGGCCTATGGAACATTTGCCAAAGTGAAATATAATATGAATATATATAAGAGAATTTGGAACTAATAAACCCAAGTATATTAAAATTATATATCCATCTCCTCCACTGTCATAAGAAAGAAAAATGAATTCATTAAAGCAGGTATCTTGCACTAGAGAGGATCAATTGGTTGGAGCACTGCATTGAGACCAAAAAGCTAGGTGCTTAGTCAAACATACCCGCGAAAATATGGAGCAAAAAATCAAAGAGACTAACCTTTTCCTTAATTAAAGCATCATATATAGTTGGGTCCAACTTCAGTCTTTTGGTTCCTTTAACAGTTTTTGTTCCAACGATTACACTACTAATGCTCCATAGTCCATACCCGCCGGTCATGCTCACTCAGCTCTTCTGGAGAGAGCTCAATCACCTGAAATAAGTTAGCTAACAAAACAGAGAGTAAAGGAAAGTTCCAGATCAAATTAACAAATAAAGAAAAATCTAAGGATTGGATAAGCCAATCGGTGAAGAAATAATGGCAGCCAAACAGGTGCCCAATTAAGTAATTCGGAAAATGAAAAGCTATAACTTACCTCTCCTTCAAAAACTTCCCCATTTTCCATAATGCGTAGAGTCGTAGACCAGTAGCCCTTTGGATGTTTTCCATTAAACCTTCGGGTTTTTTCACTTTTGATGAATATAGTTGCAATCTAACCATCGACAGGTAATTGAATTCCAGTGTGACAAATTAGAATAGTCCTAATAATATGAGAGACAGAACTTTGTTCCAATCTCCAGAGATATTCCGAGGCCAATGTGGCATTTACCATTTCAGGAGGTACAGCCAAAAATACTGCTCGGCCAGCCATCTTCTTCTTCTTCTGTATGATATCAAGGACATGAGAAGCAGCTTCTCGAGTCCCCAGCTGACCCACAATCCAACCAGCCATAGGCATTGCTCTTCCATTAGGCTAGAATCAGATATATGGCATGGCGTCGTAGCAAGATTGTGTCAGTGATGAGCGGTAGTAATTTAGATCTTAAAACCCAAGACCTCGGTTCAGGTTTGACCCATTAACAAGTCTCCAAAATGATATGAGTATGGACATAGATAGAGTAATTAACAAAACAAACCAAGTTCATTGTGCAGTACAAGGCAGTTTGGGGAAGGACTGATGCGGTTCACTGGAAGTAACTTGCTTCTCTTTCTTCGCTAACAAAGAAAAGACAAGAAATACAAACCGAAAGGCGAAAGGGTGTAGCCAGCTTGGGGGAGTAAGGCAAACAAAAGAATCCTCATTCAAATATTTAACTTCCTGAGCTATATCATAAGCTGGCTTAGTGAAGTTCCTAGATTTATATACAAACTGTACATGAGCAGAAGATTTAGATAATATTCGTAATAGAATGTGTAGATCCCAAAAACTTCCGGTAAACCGCAGCAGTCCTTCCTTTCACTGTCACAGCACCCAAGTATGTGAACCGCTGAAACTTGATATCGAAGGTCTCTGTGGAAATAAATACAAGAGGAATGTGATTTCACTATGTATTGACTATTGAACAGTTGAACTTTGAATATTGAAGTGAGTATGTATGAGTAGCTATTTCTGCTTCTTCGTGGTGGTCCGAACTCGAAGTCAAGTCTGAACTCTTCGAACTTCATGGTATCTCCTTCAGCGGAACGAACATTTTTGCTCGAACGTTTTAATTTTTAAGTATAATAAAAGTTGTTATCGTTCATGTAAGCGCCTGTAGCTCAGTGGATAGAGCGTCTGTTTCCTAAGCAGAAAGTCGTAGGTTCGACCCCTACCTGGCGCGTATATATTTTAATTTTGTTTATTGGAAAATTAGAAGAAATCAGAAATTGGGCAATTATTCTTTTGGCATTGGACTGGATTTTCAGCTCTCGGGCTGGGATTGGGCCCAAAATCAGGCTTTTCTATTTTTTGGATCGAGCCCAGACCTAGCCCTTAGTATCCAATGTATATATTAATTTTGCATACATATTTACATATATATATATACATTTATATACATATTTACCTGTTTACATATATATATATATATATATATATATATATATATATATAWTTTTACGGTGGATTCATTGATTAACCCGAACCCAAGCCCAGGCTCGAGCCCTACCTAAATTCATCAAATTACGGTGTGGGTTGAGCTCAGGTTGAAAAAATCGGGCTTGACCTTGGACTCGGGCCTTAAGCCCAAATTTTAGGGCCGGGCCCAGGTTGATCATAAACCTGGCCCAACCCCGCCCAACTTGCACCCTATGTGTATGTTGTGGTTCAGATAGTGGAACCGGAACCGGAACCTCTCTTTTATGTAATATATTGTTGCACATGACATGATATAGTGATGATTTTCCGAGTTGCTTTCTCAAGTTGAAGCCAGAAAACTGGGGATTGTGGATCTGAGAAAGTCAAGTCACAACGAGTGATCCCAGTTGGCGTGGCGCAATGCAATGAATTGTATCTCAACTTTGAATACTGATGGAGCCTCTAACGGGAATGCTTTTGGTTTGGGGTGGGAATTCAGAAATCAGAATTGTCATCCAAGACCATGAGGGTCCCTCTGTTTTGGGCGAGCTATTCAAATCTTTACACTTACCCTGTTGATTTTGACTTCTGAGTCCTATCAACTATGCTTTACTTGAAGGAGCCCGGTTTGAAAAGGAGTTGGGTATCCAGTCCTCGGTGATTTTGAGGGAGATGGCTTAACTGGTATTAAAGCTCTCTGTTGGAGGAGTTACATACTATACTCCTCCATGGAGTCTCAGACATTGCTTCGCCGAGTCACGAGAGCTAGCAACTTTCTCCCGGTGCTCCCAATACTGCAGCTCATCATCTAGTAGCCAAGCATGTTTTATCTATTTCTAGAGTAGAGACCCCACATGGGAAAGAACCCATTTCTTGCTGAACTGTATTCAAAGTGAGTGTTCTCTGATTGCTTAAATCAATGAATAGCCATTTAGCCCTGTTAGGCTTGAAAAAAATAACATATAGTGATGAATTTATTGAGTTGAGAGCACTTATATTTATATATACGCAATTACGCATGTTTGAGTAGCTGCCTGTCTGTGTCCCAAATCAATCCCTTGATGCTAATGATGTTGGTATTCAGTCCACTGATCATTCAGTGTTATCCGACCCATTTACCATTTCCCACCGGATCTCGGTCGGGTGCTCAAGTTCTAAAGGGGTTGAGGATTCGATACACATATAACACATCCCCCCACCCAAACTTAATTCAGAGATATCACCATCAGACAAGGATCCAATCCACTTTAAAGCATTGAATTCAAACCCACAAAATGTGAGCATATGGATCTGGATGGTTCTTGCATCTGATTCTCTCAATTACTTTGTTTATCCAAAATAAAGAAAAGTAGAATTCTTCCTTTAGCTTACCAGCTCAATAAAATGGAGATTTGACAGACTTTTTATAACCCTATAACCTATATTGAGGCTGCATCCATCATCGTTGCGTATCATCTCATCCACGTTTTGAATCAATTTCTGAATAAAAATAAAACAAAAACACAGACAGAAGCAAATGATTGATGGAGACATGGCAGACGGCTAATGTTTCTCTTGAGACTATAATCAGATAGCCTATATATAATACAGCTAAACATTTCCACTTGATCATCCAAAACAATAACTATCTTATAAATAACGATTCAACTCTCTCGTGGGTTCTCTGAATTTTCAGGTTCAGATTGGTGGTTGTCAGGATGACCCGGTTGTTGTTGATGTGCATTTTCCGATGACTGAATTGGCAGTGGCATTTCCTGAAGGTGGTGATGACGATCTGACCTAGTGCGCCACCTTCTCCTCCATCTCAAGAACTCAACAAATATAGAACTCCCACTCATTGCAACACCAAAACCGACAAAGGCAGAGAGGAGAATGGATAGGACAGCTTGAACATGAAGCTGCAGATCCCATACAAGTGACAAATACATAAGCACTTTATGTTGAACAAATTACATTTATTTTTATGAAGAGAATCATGTTAATAAAGAAAACTGTTAATACGATATCGACATGCTGTCCTAGTCAATGATGGATAACACAAAGTTGAAGCAATCAAAAGTGAATCGGGATTTGCTACTCACAATGCACCTCACACTGACCTCACAACACATCCCACTGTGTATTGGGAACATCTCCCCATGAATAAGAACACACAAGTAGGGGAGATGTTCCTGATGTGTGGCTGGGCCGTGTTGTGTGGAGTGCTCTGTGAGGAGAAGATCCAGACTCATCAAAAGCTCAGCAGAGCTTGCATAAGCTAAAGAATGATACAACTGTCTTTAGTTACAAGTCCGGTACTGCCTACTTGAGTGGTCAACATTGGCAACTTTTTGGAACTCAATATCAAGGAAGAATACTAATCTTACTCCCTTGACCCATGAGTAGAACAAGAGATGGAAAGATGTAGGTCCATAGGGTAGTCCAATTACAAAACCAACCCAAATTTTGGAAATACAACAAACACCCTTAACATGGATACATGTAAAAGAAATGGTGAGACATCTAGTATGAGTAGCATCCCTCTAGGCCCCTATTAAGGATTAACCTATTTTGACTTTTCCAGTAGCCTCCTTTGAGGTTTGACCATGAGTCAATTCAGCAAGTTCTGAAATTGCGGTTACAGGAAGAATCTTCTTACTTACCAATGTGTAGAAAAGATGAGCGAAGAAAACCACCAGTGCAAATTGAATTGACGCATAGATCCAGACAAACCTTCTCATCACTAAGCATAGAAATAGCAACAAACTTTATTTAACAATAAAGTGGACTAAGAATTGATTAGGAACACATGAAAAATATAACGTTAGTTATGGGTCCATCTAAACTTTTGTTGTGAATAATATAAGTGAGTGAAATGCATAGAGTATCCTTTTAGTGGCAACTGGCAAGCTGAGAAATAACATATGCCATGTTCCTGATATTTCCCTCTATGGCTGGGAATTTCCCTACATCTAAATTTTTCTATAGATTTAACAATTGAGATTTGAGATACATTTATTAAGGAAACACAACCATCTTACCCATGGTAGATGATGTCATGGATGAGAGGAGACCTAATATGCAGGAAAATGGCAGAGATATAGCAATTGCACCAGTACCCATTTTGTTGACCTGTGCATTGATAGACATATTACCAGTAAATATTGGGAGACTGGGAGGATCTGCAGATGGTCATAACTGATAAGGAAACTAGTATCTTACCAGTAGCTGTTCCAGAAAACAAAAGTATGCAAGCATGCTGACAATGACAAGAACAGGCACATCCTGCCAAACCCTGATAAGATTTGAAGATTCAGACAATGTAGCCTAGCAAATCAAATCCATTAACAAAATATAAAACAGATAAATTGAGATCTTTACGGTCAAGTCACAGCAAAAGATTGAGTACAGAAATAAAATAAAAATAAAAGAAAACAGACAAAACAACTATGAAAACAGATGACTTCAGAAGTTTGCTAAAGCTTCAGGCAAAGTTAGAGTGCTGGATATCAGTTTATGTGCTGCCAAGAAAAGTCAAAACAAATAGTGTCTTTGGAGAAAGTAGGTATTCCTGATCAATGGATAAGAGGACTGCATGCCATTTTCATGTCATTTTATTTTCATCGGGTCTAAGTAGTATTCTTTGTCTTTCTGGGTTTGGTAATAGGAAATCGACCAGAAGGGCCTTGTTTATGGTTGTTTGGATCCATGTCTTTAGATTTTTCTTGTGCAGTGGATTGTTGAATGAGGGATCTACTGCTGGTGCCTTCCAGGAACTGGGGGATTATGAACCCCGGGAAGGCATTGGTTTGTACTCCTATATTTATCAAAATCCTTTTTCATTAAAAGAATACCTTCACTAGTGACTTGAACTGGATTATGTTCCTAGAATTAGACAGAACCCAGTGATTTGTTACAAGTTGAAGGGGATAGAAGAGCTAGGGCCTAGGGGTAGACCAAAAAGGACATGAGTAGTAGTAAGAAATGATATAGGCACTAAATAATTTAACAGTGGATATGGCTTTAATTAGAATGAATTGGCAGAACAGGATTCATGTAGCCGACCCCATATAGTTGGGATAAGACATGGATGATGATGATTAATTAGGCAGAACCCACTTAGCCCTTTGACTTGACTCCGACTTCTGATAAAGTTCTGAAGTCATTCGAATGCTTAGCCAAAGCCTTCTACCACAGACCCCCTATCTTTGTGAACAAGCTTTGTAATTCTCAATTTTAAGCTTAGTATAGTTGGTTAAGTCTTCCTTAACCTGATCTACCTTCCCAAAATAAAAAACAAAAAAAAAAAAAAAACAGAAACAGAAACAAAAGAGCTGAAAATCAAATTCTCTAAATGCTATTTCTGTAGGCACAAAAAAGTGTAACCAAAGTTTTCTTACTTACCTGTATTGAGAAACTTCTGTTTGCCGAGATCTATTTGCATTTGCCCTAACAGCCTGAGCATTTTGGATTCGTAGAAGTGTGACAGGTAGATTCTGAACCTCTTGTTTACAAACATCACAGTTCTTGTTACCCTTGATGCTGAACCATTTTATAGCACATTCTCGGTGCGCCAATGCAAGTTCACCTTTGCAGCTACATTCCATCTTAAGGGTATCACCATCCTCACCCAGTTCAACCAAACAGATTCTACAGACAGCCTCTTCCTCAGGAATATCTTCACCATCCACATCTTTGCCCTCTGAACCATGAAACTAGAATAAGACATAGGTTGGTTATCGCAAGTTGCAGATAGTTTGAGAAAATCACAGACAAAACTAAAAAATGCATCTAAAAGTCTAAAGAGATAGTTGGGGCTTTATAATGGTTGATTAGGTTGGACCTAAATTAAGATGAGTTAGAGGAAGCTAAAAAGTAAATCAATTCTTTTTTTCTAAATTTAAATATTTGGGTGAGAACAAGTATGTGAAATATTGAAGTGAATTCATACGAATAGTAACCATTATCTATGGCAACCTTTGTCCTGTTTCAATTTTCAAGTATATTAGGCTGAGAACAAGTCTTCGAAGGATTTAAGTGAATTCTTATAAGAGTGGCAATTAGTTATGGTCATCTTTTTATGCTTTCAAGTATGTATTGGATCACTAATTTTTTTTATTCTGTTAGAGTGAAGTTGACACGGAAAAGGCCTTAAAAAACTTATTCATCATCATAACAAAAAGCAATTGAGCTCAACAAATTTCTGATCTTTTGAACTTTCAAGTTCACAAACATGCACCTGACAGAGCATGATGAATAAGAGAATAAACGTACCAGGATCCACCACCGTTGGTGTTGCATTTGATACAGAGGCACTCCCCTCCACCACTTGTGGAGTTGAGGGAATTACACGAAATATGCCACCTAAGGAATCAATCCGCCTTATGCTTTGTGTTTTATTGTTCAGGGGAACTGAAAGAGAACGAGATATGTGTCGCTGGGTACCCTTTTTCTGCAAAAGAGAGGACTCTGTAAGAAAGGGCCACAGGTGGATTCTCAACTAATAGGTTAACACTCAAAATCTTCAAAAATCATGACAACAGGAATTCATGCTGACATGCTCCTAACCTGTTGGGAAGGCTCAGTGAACATAAAGGGTTCAGGAAACAGCATTATTCATTAGTCACACCTATAGGTCTGGACTAACTCATTTCAGTAGATTAGCGTAACAACCCAATCTATCCTATTCCTTTGGACAGTTCAAATAAGTACAGATTATGATACTGCACCACCACCATGATATATGAACAAGAAAACAAGCAAGCTGATGTCTCAGAAAATAACATGGGCCTTGGAAGTCTCATAGGTGGATAAATAGTAAATTGGTCCCAAGCAAAGTGCACGATGAATTCATGCATCCCATCCAGCTGTCTTGAAATTAGGTGTTCCTCCTCTGTCATAATATATACAATATAGAAATACAACAGGTTTGAAGTAAACAAGTATGCATTCACATCTTTAAACACATAAAAGCTGTCCTTACCCACCTGCACCACAGCACCACCCCACAATTAAAAAGGGAAAAAAAAGAAAGAAGAAGAAGAAGAAAACATACACACATCTTAGTTAAAAGTTACTGGGAAGGATCTATTATTTGTTTCATTGTACAAATACTATAATCCTTTTTTTATATAGATTTGCAAGATGCATTTAGGTTGGTAATCAAAAACTTGCATCTTGATACAACAGAACAGATCTTCAGGATATAGGATACTAACATGAAGTCCAGGCACTAATGGTCAGGATTCATATATGACCAAATCATCTATATATTCAAAATCCACCATGTTTTGATGATTGACCAATTAGATGCTCCAACTGTTCAAACACGCACTAAACCTATGTAAGTCATATGGCATCCATAACTTCAGATATACCAATTACCTAGTCATTACTAGGGCTACACATGCACAGGGTGCTGCCCAACTGAGAGAATACTTGCTCCTCAAAGTGACAATGCTATAGACACAATCCTTCCTAGTGTGTTTTTTGGGAAGGCCATTAAAATATCATCGTCAAGTTGATGTTAAATACTGCAGTGGGGCAGGCAGGCCCTTCAATTCGTTGGTACCACTGTCCTCACTACATGCAGAAGAAGTTGTTTGCTTTTCCTAGTGACCTATCAAACAGGTAGCTTAGAAGTTGTCCAATTTTTAAGGAATGAGAAGCTTACAGTTGAATTCATTGGTTCAATGGTGCTCCCTCCACGCAGAGATTCTGGGTTTGAGTGTGCAACAGGGGTAACAGGTAGTGACGAAGTTCTCTTCACCCTGGGAGTAAATATCTTTGTAAAAGATAAAGACCTTGAGATCGAAGTCTTCTCCCGGCCTGCCGATGAAGCCCCAAGTGCTAGAGTAGCAGCCTTTTCAATATCTGTTGTTGAACTCCGATACTTGAAGCTTAAACGTGGTAGGAGGCTTTTTATCGTTGATTTACCTTTGGATGAGGAGGGACCTGGGGATCCATAAATTCTTGCTGAAGCGGGGCTAGGGGTTGATGGGAAATTTACTCTTGTTGGAGTGGGACTTTTTGTCGGTGGCATGTCTATTGTCACAAAATCTATTCTTGAGGGTATCTCCAGGAATAGGTTTTGTTTCCTCCAGTGATGAACAGATGGGGCTTCTTCAGTTATTCCAGTCAGGTCTTCAGCCTACAAAGAAGAAGGCTTTATTACTGAAATTAAAAAGCATATAAATAGTGCTTTATTATCTTATTCAAACTGCAAGTAAAAGCACTAAGTGATAGATATATGCCCACATTGCACTGAGCTATAACTGAATTTAAGCTTGTTTTGAAAACCAAGAGAAGGTTGACAACCTTGCTGCATATACTACTGTATTTTTTCCGTACTAATATAGTAATGCTTAAAACTAGATAGCTATAAATCCTGCAAGCATATACATATACATACTCAAAAAGCAGCATCTCCGCAAGTACACAGCAATATTTAACCAATTCAACATCTCTAGAAAATGCACTGCACTGAATCAGTATGCAACTAGTGCCATGGCTTGATTCAGCTCCCCCGATTTGGGGAAACAAAATAAGCAGTCATGGAGATTGGTAGGAAACGTACAGTTCTGCTTTATGGTATTACCAAATAAACAGAAAAGGGGTCATCTGCTTTAGGAAGAACTTTTGATCCCTTCAGTTCAACATCAGAAGGCCTCAGGTTAAACTAATTAGATGACCCGAGGAGGATTATAAGTGCCCAGTCCCTTGAGATTAAGTTAAACCCTCAGAAATGTAGAAAAGAGTAATTTGGCTATAATTTAAGGGTTCTATATTTAAACCGAATATCATCTCAGGTAGTAAAGTTATGGATAATCATTCTGGAACTCATTAGCTCAATTTATTTTCCATCTTCTTAATTGTCAGTTGAAAACTGTTGGCACAATTTCCCCTTTGGATTTTGAGAGACACAATGATCAGGTGGTACTAAGGATTTGGTCATGCACCTCATAGTCTCCAGACACTCAGTTGCTTCTATTGAACTTCTAACAGGTATATGGCGTTCATCCAGATGCCTTTGGTATACATTCCTTTCCCACAAATACACTTTTGGGAATATAGAGGCACTAATCAGTTGGTTGTTTTGCATTTGCAAGTCCAAATTCCCTACTGTGTATTATTATTCTTAAGTGGATGCCTAGCCCCAAAAAGCATCTTGATCTAATAAGTAAGAAGGCAAAACTTAGAAGCCAGAGTGTCAGCAAGCATTCTGTTGGCTCGAGCAAGTCTAGCTCAATTAAGGGGCTTAATGATAGAGTTTTATGAACAGGGGAGAATAAGAGGAGAAGCATATGTGTTACTCCGGAGCCACCAGGGTACTCGCTTCTTCCCCAGGCTTTGGTAATATAAACATAACCCCCTGATGCTGCTGGAGTTCTTCCAGTTCTGCCGTGCTGAAGAATCAGAAGTTGGGATTCTCAATAGAAAATCTTAAGAAAATAGCGACACTTCTTCATATAGGTCATAGAACGAAAGGTTAAGAGTAAAAAACCGATCAGGGTGGGAATTAAGCTTCAGATATTGAACGAATCAACACGGTTTTTCATATCCAAATATGAAAAAAAACACGAATTCAAGCAGAAACAAAAGCTACATCACAGAGCTCGTTATAGAACGGTATTATGAGTCGCATATGCATCCAGAGCAAACAAGAAATGAAAGTAACCAAAGAAGAAACAACTGAAACCAACAATTATCAATAAACCACGGAAACGATTCAGAATACAGATGCACCAAAAAATACCTTTTGAGTATGAAGAAGAGCAACGGTACTCTTATTTACACCCACTTGGTGATCGCCAGGTATGGGTTCTTCTTCAGCTCTCATTGTTTTATGCAAGTTTCAGCAAGACCTCAATAGGCCGCAAGTAAAGCTAGAATAGTAGAGAAGAAATCCCAATCGTTCCAAAGAAGGAGCTTAGTTCGAAACAGTGCGGAATTTCCCAGGGGATGATGAACGATAGAGATAGAAGAAGGACGGACCAAACGACCAGTCGGAAGAAGGAAAGCTACTGTGGCACCAAACCGAATTTATGATTCTTGAACAGTGAGAGGAAGAGGAGCAGCAATTGTTATCCTAGTTATTAACTTATTACGTTGTTTCTGTGACATTGATTTATGGCAAAGAAAACAAAAGCTGCTGTGCAAAACGTGGCCGACGACGGTGAAAGTGAAACAGAGTAGGTCCCTGACATCTGAGCGCTTGGTGTTGGCCGTTGGGTGATAGTTATTAATGTCCCTCTCGCTCTCGGCCCCTCCGGCTCCCTCCCTCCCGGAACTACGCCATTTTCAGTTTTCACCCGCCCTTTCTCGTTTCTCAGTTCGTCTCAAAACTCAATTTCTCACACCCTTGCCCAAGGCTCCCAATCCCAGGCCCGGCTAGCTAATTTTGAAAAGAAAAAACAAAAATGGAAACGAATAAAGGGCATAATATTTTAGGGTGCTTGTCAAGTTGAGCCGAAAGTCGGCGTACCATGCATATGTTGGTTACACGTGGCATATGTTTCTCGCTTGGTAATGATAGGGTACAGTGATCCGATGGCAATGGCGTTAGCTTGAGAGTGGATTTGGGTTTTCCCTTAATTTAATCTTATAGATTGCCATTTCATCAGGGTTGTTTATGGGTCGGGTTGGGTCGGTTTCGATTCTAAGTTCATCATGTGATAAAATCTTGTTAATTTTAAAAATAGTCATAAATTGAATATTATTTCAGCCATCTCCTATGATAAAATTTAAATGAAAATTTAATCACAAAAGTCGTTCATTAATCATTATTCACTAATCCCAAGTTTCTTAAACCATTCAAAAACTAGGTGGCCTAACGGCCTTTGGAACTTCATGTTTGAACTAGGAACTAAATCGGTTCGGTTCGGGTCGGTTTTCAGTTTTCTTGTGTGGAAATCGAAACTGACCCAAATCATTAGTTTAGGAATTTGCATAACCTGAAACCGACCCGTGCTAATGAAAACCCGGCCGACTCGGGTTGGGTCGGTCCGGGTTGGGCCTTCTTATGAACAACCCTACTTTTCATTGTTTTAAAATTTCAATCTCAATGGGGTTCACCATGTCAGGTTGTTTAGAAATGTGGGGGATGTTTGGAGCCGTGGCCGTTTTTTCTGAAAAACCGTGCTACGTCGGATCCACATAGGTGTTTCAACAAACGCTCATATATATGATTGTTTGGTTCATGCATTTTTTGAAAAACGCTTGAATCATGGGCATGCCTCGTAAATTAGGACCCCACCGATGCATGAAACGTCAAATTTGGCGTTTCATGCATCGGTGAACCATTTCCCCCAATGGTTGATTGATTGGCGATTTACGTGCATCCTGTGTGGTGCTTACCTGACAGCTCATACATGAAAAACAGTGATGAAAATCACTTTACCAAACATCATAGTGTTGCTCACTGCATACGTGGCAGAAATACTCCCAAATAAAATCAAGGCATTTTTTTTTGTGAAAAACGAGTCTTGGAAGCATGGGCATTTTTTCTTGAAAATCGGCCCCAAAAAAGGCCCACGCTTCCAAACACCATCCTGGTTGTTCGTGTTTTCATCTTTTTTAGTTTTGGTTGGGAGAAGATCTACATCCTGTTTAGTGTGTTTTTTCATACAGGCTATCGGCTATTTAGCATTTGTTTGGCATCGTTGTTGTTGCTCCAGAAAATGATGCCACATCGAAAAAAGTGATGCTCTAGGGAACGGGCATTTGTTTGGAACCAATTTTCCATAAAAAACAATGCTTCAAGCCATGCCTCAGAAATAAGGCATGACTTGGAGCAACGCCAAATTTGGCGTTTCCTGGAATTGTAGCTCGTTGTTGCCAACAAGGATGTGAGGTGGCATTGATGTGGCACTGGATAATGGGTACCAGTGCTGAAAACGTTTCTTGGAGAATTGGTACCAAATAAAACTGTAGTGATGTGGCATCTACATTATTGATGCCAAACATATACTTAGAAGCTTGATAGTCTCCATTTTTGTCTTTTTCCATTTGGTTGGGAAAAAGATCTAACTACCAAAAGATGTTGTTCCGAAAAGATGTGGAAAGCTCGTTTTGGGCTATTTTCAAGAAGCTCCAAATGAAGCTTTTCAACCTTTTTTCATCACATCTTTGTAATAGAAAGGAATGCAAGAAGATATGCCTTAACCAAATGGTCTTCAGGTTGCTAAGATCTTAATGCAAAAGTTCACATCGTCTTTCGATTGTCAAATCTACTAGAAGATCTTTTAAAAAAGATTTACCAAATGACACCCCGATCATCGAATGCCACTGCCCTAAAAAACATGAAAAACTGGATTTTAGCTTATTTTCGAAAACTAGAAATGAAACTTCTCGCATTTCTTCGTCTCTAACCAAACGATCTATGATTTGTCAAATCTTTATATAAAAACCCACTATATCTTTTAACAGTCAGATCTTTCAGAAATATTTCAAAGAAAGAGTTACCAACCAATACCTAAGATGCCGTCGCAAATGAGTGGACCGAGGATGGCCTGGGTAGATAACGACGAAGCTAATGGTGTCAAAATCACATTTAATAGCAATAGCATAGTCTCTCTTTCTTTTCTTTTTTTTCTTGAAAATGTAGCATCCTATTTGTAGCATAGTTTTTCAAAAATCAAAGCCACATACATAGGATAGGAGTTGGGAGTTGGGAGTTGCACTCTGAGATAGGAATCCACGGCAGCTCCCACGTCGTCGGTCATGAACGAGAAAAACAGCTACCTCTAATGCGGTATTGACTTTTTGAATACTATGTGGATGGTTTATATTATTTTATTTTTTAAGCTGCTACTGCTACTGATGATAATGATGATGATGGACACTAATAAGCAAGATGGAAATTCCTCCACCTGTATTCTGTAATGGTTTGGCCAAAGTCACACATACACTGACTCAGACTCTATTACACTTCCATTCACATGAGAATATACACATACGATGGGAGAAAACTGCACTCAACGATCGCTTGCTGTGTTGTAGGGCTATTTATTCAATAACATAGAGTCCTATGTCAGCCATCATCTAATGTATATAAGCCCTACAACCACTTCGATTTCCCAATTCTCATGCATGATAGCCTTGGGTATTATTATTGCCCCCAAAATTTAATGATCAAGTGCAGCTAATCCAGGCTCCACCGCTCCACCCTGTTGCAGAGCGAATGAAAGTGCAGAGAAACGTGTGGGGAGATTGGGAGTCCCACACCCATAGTTTTAAAATTACCCATCTTTTCTACCATTTTTATTATACAATAATACTCCCTGCTATCAATTATCAACTGCTATCATAAAAATGGTAATAAGTGGTAATTAATCAGGTGGTTTTTATCAAAATTTACACATATTATTCTTCTCTCCCCTTTTTTAATTTGTTGTATTTATATATAAATATATCATCATTAATATTAATATATAAATGTATTAAAAAGTTTTTATATCAGTGAACTTAAAAATCAATACCTATTATATATAACATATAATACTGGATTATCATGTTTGTAGCTATTGGTGAGGTGGAAGCAACACAATCTTAGGTGTTGTTTGGTAAGTCAAGAAGATTTGATAGTCAGAAGACATAATGGGTTTTATAAAGATATTGATAACCCATAGACCATTTGATTGGAGATGCATTTTTCCACACAGATGAAATAGAAAAATAAAAAATAAAAAATTGAGAAACTCTATTTCTAACTTCTTTAAATAAACTTAAATTTAGCTTTTCCCATCTTTTTGGGGTAGAATCTTTCAAGGATTAAATTTTTCACCAGTGAAAGGGAAAACAATGAAAACATGGATTGTAAGACTTCTAAACACCGACACACGCCAAACGGGGCCTATTTACCACCACCACCCGCTAGCATTCGGTAAATCATAAATGGAAATGGAATGGCCACTTGGCCAACCCCCTGTATGGCCATTCTATTTTAATTCCATATAGCAGCAGGACGAGACCACATAAAATCCATTATTTTTCATAATAATTCCACACAATCTTTTTCTTTAAATAAGAAAGACCAAATACGGAAAGTAATAAATCGAAAATTAATGATAATATCTCCTCGAAATTCAATGATAATAGCTACTGGCATGACCTAAATGCCCTTGAAAAGATATTGGGACCCAACCTGACCTAACCAGATGCTGAGTTTAAATAGAGAAAGGCAGAAAGCTAATGAGCCCACCGACCATATGACCACCTTTACCAATTGTTCTGAAACAAATGTGAGAAGAGATATAAGCATGTGGAGCCCTTTCACAGACACCTAACCTACTACCAGTCCACCCCCATTATATAACATCATTAAGGCCATAGTACCTTTTATTAGACTGGATGGTTTAGCCAAACTTTGACTGCCGTTTCAATGATATTTGGGCTGCGTATAAAGTTTTACATCGATAAAATTGATGTAATATTTATGTCGGTTGTTGATGTAAAACTTTATGTTTGATGAGGTTTTATATCGATTGTCAATATAAATTTTATATTTGATGAGGTTTTACATCGATTCATGATATAAAACTCTACTTTATCTAAATATACACAAAATTAAATTGGAGTAAAATGTTACATTAATCATAATTACATGCTCCTTCCAAATGCCTATAAAATTGATCTGATATAAATTTTACATATGTTCTTGATTTACATGATTTCCAAATGCAGATTTTGATGCGAGTTACACACTCTCTCTCTCTCTCTTACCCTCAGAGCTATAATTAGTAAAATGTAAATCCAATGAAAAGACATTTTAACGACCAAAGGTGGTGTGGTATTGATTAAGACATTCAAAGCTATAATTTGAATAAAGTAGGTAAGTGGTAGCGTGCAGGTATTATCCAATTGCAGGGAATTAAGGTCGTCAAGGTGACCAAAAAGGATAATTTGATGGTTGAAATTTTTTCTCGCATTCTTTTTTCTTTCTATACTAGTATTTTATATAATTAATTTGGCGTTGAGATATGAATAATATACAAATTGTTGATGAGATTGGAGAGGAGCAGACCACAGAAAGAGTCGGCGACTTATCTCGATCACCTCTACAATAATACAGCTTTTCTTTTTTAAGAAAAGATGGTAGCCTTGCACCTCTATTTTGATTTTTGACAAAGAGCGAGCAAATGTTGATGCCACCCTTGAGTGAGACCGTTTCTGAAATAATTGGAGCTACCCTTATCAACAACTCGTATCCTTACTTTTTCCACTTTAGCTAAGTGGAATGTCTACTCATCAGTACTATACTAGCAAATGTTGGGTCCCCTCCTCTCTTTAGTCTTTACTGGCTCGATCTGTCCACCACATCCGCAACCTAACATGGACAAGCTTAAGTTTCACGCTTTCAGCTTCCCTCGTATCAGGAGTCAAGAGTTGAGTTGCAGTGTACAATACAACTCCCCTTCTGTCATTCACCTATCCACCTAAGTAATTAAGATTGAATGCTTGATGCAGAATTGCAGATGACACCAATTTTTTCACACCACACCACCATTGATCTGAATGGTTGAACAGCTGAACCAGACAACTGACAGGATCTTGGTTCTTTGACACTATATAATGAGCGAATCCACGGTGATGAACAACATATAATTGTTTATAAATGTTTAATGTTAGAATTTTGATGGTTCTTTAACAAAAATGAATACGCATTTTTTTTTCTATTGTCAGATCTTCCTCTTCTTTTATCCCTTTTTTCTCCATCTAAGTGCATCATGAGCAGGTTCAGTCATCATAGTTTCATCTCATCAATCGATCTTGAGTGCCCATTTGTGAGTGTTTTTCACGCACTGCCTTCTGAAGTTGCAAGGTAAACCACACAGAAAGCCAAAGATAGGCTTACATTAGCTGAGGCATCATCAGTAACTTCTTGGAAGCAACCCAGCCAGCACAACTGAATCAACATTAAAGCCCTCCCAAACAGGCCCTGAAGAAGGCAGAGAAACCAGCTGAACCAAAGTATCAGGGCAGGGATGCACCATGAGGTTCCCTGGTCCCTAACCAATAAAGAACACTAAACTCCAATTGTTTGAACACATATTAGCGGTGAGCATGGGCTGGTTCGGTTTGGTTCCATGGTAGAACCTGGAACCTATCCTCTAGGGGTCAATTCTAGGTTTTTGGAACCATAACCTATTCTGTGAAGGCCAGTTTGATCTTGGTGGTTTTGGGGTCAGTCAGTTCCAAGGTCTGCCTGTGAATCCTGTTCTTTGTTTACTCTCTCTCTTAAAAAAATGAAACATGTCCTTTAAAAGTTGATTTCAATAATGATAATATATAATTTAAAACTTATATTATATTTATTGATTAAATTGAATAACTTAATATGTAAAGGGAAATTACCTAAAACTCACCATGAGCTTTCAGCATTTCTCTTAAACTCATCACAACTTTTCAAAACATCTAAAACTCACCTTCCATTAGTGTATGTTTCTTAATAGAGGTGTCCACATCAGCAAAAATAACAATTTTTATGACCAAATCACCCTTGAATGGCGAGTTGGAGGAAAAGTGTCTTTTTCATTTTTTAATTTTCTTTTTTTACATTTTAGTGTTTTGTTATAACTTCTAATGTTTTTTTACATTTTTCTATTTTCTACAATCTATAAAATTTTCTGTATTTTTTGTTATTTATTTAAAATTTCTGTGTTTTTCTATATTTTTGGTGTTTTTTCTACAATTTTTATTTTTTGATTTTGTTTTTCAATTTCAATAGTTTCTATAATTTGAAAATAATTTTTTATTTTGTGTGCAATTTCTGTAATTTTTTTTTTTGCAATTTCTGTTTTTTATGTATTTTATATTTGAAAATATTTTTTGAGCTTTTTCCCTTTTTTCATATCTAACTATTAAAATATATGTATATATTTTATATTTTTCTATGAAGGTTAAAATGGTAATATATTAACAGCCGTTAGCCTCTTTAACATCAAGTTAGTGACTTGGTGAGTTTTAGACATTCTGAAAAGTTGTGGTGAATTTAAGAGAAATGTTGAAAACTCATGGTGAGTTTTTGACAAATTTCCATATGTAAATTATTATAATATATTAACATGTGGTTTAAAATTTATCATATTATAATTTAAATTTTGTAAATTTTACCTTTAACATTATTTATTATACAAATTCAAATATTAAAATAAAAAAACAAATGATCAAATTAGTTAAGTAACTCAATGATCAAGTGAGACCATGACTTTTGTAACAATGAATGTTTGAATTCAAATTTTCATATTCTTAAAAATATTTTAGAGTTTATTTCAAGGCAGGTTCGATTCCAAGGCCAACCAAGGCAGTTCATTGAGTCAATTCGGGTAGGGTAAACCCCTAGACCCTGGAATCAATCTAGGTAAAAATTGGTTCCAAGGATTTGAAACCAAACCCTACCCTATAATAAATTAGGTAGAGTCAATTCCATTTGATTCCGAATAAAACCTACCCATTTACTCACCTCTAACACGTATGGCTTCCCTCCGATGCTCGACTGTTTTTAGATTTTGGAATGAGTCACTTCCTCCCACGAAGAAATGCACCCAACCGCAGAAGCAAGATCACTCCATTTTACATAAAACTCCAAAAGGAAAGGGTTTGATAATACAACACAACTTTCATAATTGATATAATTAGAAGGCAATTTCTATGATACCAGAAAGGTATTAAAAGATTTAAGATGAGCGAATATGCCAGTTGATTGGTTAGGACTATTATGATATGAGCGAATGATTATCAGTTTTTCATCTATCATGCCTCTTCGGTATCACAGTGGGACACTGAGAAAATATCACATTTAAAAGTATCATGCCTCTTTGGTATCGCAGTGGGACACTGAGAAAATATCACATTTAAAAGGGTTAAAAGGATCTCCTGCACTCGGCCTAGTATATGCTGGGGTGCGCTTACCACTCAAAACATTCCACATCATACTTCCCCTGGGCCATGGCTATTCTAGTTGAAAAAACAAAGAAAAAGAAAATGCCATTAACAAGTCACAAGAATGGAATTCATTTGAAGCGATCTGTTTGTTTTTTTTGTTTTTTTTTTCAAGTCAAAACTTTCCCATTGCTTATAAAAACCAATGACTGATGAATACCTGTATTTTGTTATAAAAAACAAAACCTATATTGCTAAAAACTGATGAATACTTGATATTTCTTTTCCCCTCTTTTGTATGTGGCTTAATGTTGCAAAGAACCCTTGAGGAAGAAGGATCGATGGGCAAAGAACAATAGCTTCCATCTGTCTTTTATCTGCAATTGTAATGGCATTTGGCATTCCTTATTTTAAGGATTTATCTCCTTTTTGCAGTTAAAATGCCCTTATGAACTTGAGCTTTTAAATGCAGAAAAGAGTTAAGTCCTTGAAATAAGGAATGCAAAACTGCACTTTTTTTGTTTCCTATACTGTTTTTCTCTCGAAATAGACGGGTAATAACCAGAGCTTTCTACTTTTCTTTTATTTTTTAAAGTTAAAAAATATATAAAAAAAAAAAAAACAGAAAAAACTTACCGCTAGTAAATCTCACACATGTGAGCGGGATTGTCATGAGAATGTGGCATTGTTTCATTGAAAGTGCAACACAGCATACACGAAGCCAAGTACAGGATATGGACCCTTGAGAGAAGAAATCTGTTCTAATGCAGTCCATGAGCTATACCCCATGTGATGTGATGAAAACAGATGAGAACTGAACCCGGAACGACGTACAAGCATGATAAAATTTTTCCCTTGCCTTGCCAACCCAGAAACTAGAATTCTCTATAGACTTACGAGCGCAGGATGATACAATGCCAATCAAGGGCAATGCCATGTCTTTTGTTCTTAGTGCTTGACACCCACATATACGGAACTGACTTGACGCATTGAAATTGGCTAAGTATTAACATAAAAGTAGACATTTCAGCTATACTTTTACCTTTTACCATACTCAAAACACTTAGGGCCTGTTCCTTTGCTCTAAGGTCTCACATCTGAAAGTGCAATAATTACAGTAAGAGATATATTGATATTGGTAAACTTTTCTTTCCTTTGAACTCTGAATGCAGAGAATGTTGTTGAAATTGTCAAATGTTCATTTTAACCCCATATATGAAAACTTTTATTTGTCTTTTGGGGGTATCATTAGAAAACAAAAAAATTGTAAAATTCCACTTCAAGAGATAAGAAATAAAAGGAAATGAACACTCATTTTTCTCTTAAAGTTATAAAATTCCTCTTAAGAGATAGAGTTAAGAGGAAATGAACAGACCCTTAAAATATTCAAAACATCACCTGACAAATCTGTCCATTCCAATGTCACCGACAACCATTAAAGATTCAAAACATCATTTCCTGACTATTTCTGGGCGTGTTAACATGACTAAGAGACTCCCATCAACCCGTCAATGCAGGGCCCAGCATTAGAGTCCATCTACAATCTACACAACCAAGACAACCCGGTGTTTGTCATAAATCCCTAGCCTTACAACGTGGAAATTGGAAGTTTGGAACACACACCAATGAACAAGCTTTTAAGCTATACTATGGAATTGTGGTGTCAACAGAATTTAGATGAGAATTTGTTACCCTAGAGATACATATTACCTAAGCATTCTAGTCTTGAATTCATACCGAACAAATATCAGAGAACATAGTTTAAGATGCTAAAGAAACCTTTTGATTTCACAGTGTTTTTAACTATTATCACTACGTATTCCTGGTGCTAATGCCTCAAGTTCTTTTTTTTTTTTGGTAAACACAGGAGGGACTACACACTGACATACGTTAAAAAGGTCAAAAGCCTGTGTATTTACATACTGACTCTATGACATATTATGATACCTTCAATCAGTAACCCGGGTGAAGGTGCCAGCTAGCCTGCTGGTAAAGTCTCTGGCTGATTGTAGCAGAGACCTGGGATCGAGTCCCTCCTTCACCTGCGATGGGGGCCTTTGGTGTTTGGGGGAGGGCAACCCCCTATTGCAGCCCATTACCAAAAGAAAAAAGTAACATCAAAACTAACACTGTTGAAGTTACATATATCAAATTTGAAATTTCTGCAAATGTATCATTGAAACAACAGATTCAAGAGGTCCATCTTGAATTTCTGCAAATGTATCATTGAACTTACATATATCAAAATTTAAGCTACTGAGAAATACTAGTAGGGGTCCATCTTTACCTCTCAAGAAGCATAACCATTTCACAGTGTTGAGTGTGTGGGAAGAGATCAACAGCCATTGCTTTGACAGGATGGAAAGGCTCTGAGCTGGGCATGGACTTGGTCCTATGTCGTGCCAAACCTGCACTGCTCATTTTCCTCCATCCCCTGTTGTTCTTGTTCCCTTTCTCAGGTTTATTGGTAGATGGTGTGCAGAGCTCAATAGCATTTGCCACTAAGCTCTCGGGATTACAGGAGATATAACTGAAAGAAGAGAAAACCAGGTGAGATGGTGATTCTTGGAAAGCTCATATTTGATCAAAGCAATCAAAGAATAGGTGAAATCATTCATGGAAACTCACACAAGACGTCGCAGACGTGGATGAGTCCGTAAAGCTTTGATCACCTGCATGTCACATAAAACAAGTTATCATAACTCAAAACTCATCCTCTGGTTTACATGACTAGGCTTACATTAAAGAGGAATAACTAGAAGGAAACAGGAGAATTGCGGCAAGTCAAATTATGTGGTCCAGACTCTACATGCAGTGGCCACCATGAAAACTTTTCATATAAAGAATCTTAAAATATCAATCAGTTAGGACTTAAGAGCTTGACCAGTCTGAAACAACTAAACTCGACAAAGCTTTATCTCAATTATTTGGGGATGATACATTAAACCCATTTCACCATCAGCCTACAAGGGAAATATTCTCTATTTAATTATACTTTTGCATGTCCTCTCACTACTTCAACCCACCTTCCCTAGTTCTTTTAGAATCCTCAACTTGCATCAGATCTTCTTTCTTATTGGTGTCATAGATTAATAGAAAAATAAATAGAAATATATAACATGGATTTCTTATAAAAATTAAAAAAAAAAAAAGAAAAGAATGTGCCCATAAAATTGCAGTCAGCCTTCACTAACCCATATTGGCTAAAATAGTAAACTGGATGGCTGACAAAACACCTGATATTTATTTAATTAAATATTAATATAGGGGAGTAACTGCAGCACATAGCATAAGTCTGAAGAGCAAATATTTTAAAAGACAAAAACACCCCTATATGGTGATTTGTTTCACTATAAACAAGGATCTTTTGTCTTTTTCATTGGGGATGTATAAAAAATGAGATGTGCCCAAATTATTACCCTTCTTAATTTCATCTGTACATGCAACACATATTGATCAAAAGGGAGAAGGCTACCACTTTTTATTGATAAAAATAAATAAAAACCTCTTTTCACCAACAAATTATTACAAACCTAAAGTCAAAAAGATTGGTTAAAAGCACTTGAATCAAAACTTGTTTTAGCTCCCATTTGGAAGGGCTTCTACAGTGAAGGAGCTGCTTTAGAGAAGCTACCTGAGATAGCTTCACCAGAAAGTTGATTTTACGGCTCATGTAAGCCTACTTTTGGCTTTCTGTATTTTTACCGAACATAGATTCATGGCATTCTGGGTTCCCCAGCCCATCTAATGCTATAAGCCACCATATGAAAGCCCTCCCAATAGGGCACTTAAACACCTATCCTAGTTGCTTAAAACCAGATTTAACTGCAAAATAGTGGATATTTCCCAAGTAAACAACAGGCAGGTGCATTTTGTATCAATAAGTGTCTTTTATTCTATTTCTTCATTTTCTGGGGAGAAGAGGTACTTGCTGCTTCAAATCCATGCAACATGTTAGTGGATGATTTTTAGGTGAATTTTGCCAAAGTCCGAACACAAGCATCATATAAAAGGCAAGTGTTACTTACAACAGGGTGAAGTCCAACTCGTGGAGGATCAACAATGGCAACTACATCTTTATATTGCTGCACTGTTTTACTCGTATCTTCTGAAATGCAGCTCCTCTCAATTGGACCTTCAAGTTCCTCACTACCATTATTTGGGCATCCAGAAGAACTTGTATCATCACCTAATTCATGGATTCTGCTCTCTTCAAGATCTGCTCCATTGTCCACAGATGCAAGATTCTCTAGATCACGCAAATCATCTTTACCATTATCTTCAGAGATAACATGAGGACTTTCATCTTGCTTGGAAGGCACATTTAGATACTCTTTCAATAAAGATCCCATCACATCTTCGGCCTTATACAAAACAAGTTTCAAAATATGCAATAAATACAGGATTAAAACAACTGAAAAGAAAAATTAGCAAAGTTAGCTAATCTGTAATCCCCTACCCTCTCTCACAATATAAATATACTAAATCATGTCAGGTTATTCTAGTATAGTAGATACCATTGAACAATTTTATCTGTAATATTAAATTGAATGGAATCATGTGATCTTAAGGCATTTGCTATAATTTTGCATGTTAGCTTTTATTTATCAATCTCTTCCAGTCTTTAATAACTTATTTCTAGATAAATAAAAGGTAGGATCATCATCATCTAAGCCTTATCCCAACTAATAAAAGATGGGAACACGTCTCCGAAATAGTTAATTAAAGGAGGAAATATAGGCTATCCAACATACAAACCAGAGTGGATGGTTCAAAAGGAACTTTCTAGACAGAAACTTGGGCACATGCTTCACCAAACTTTCAAAATTTAAAAGGTTTGTAACACAGTTTGATTTTTTTTTCTTTTGATTTTACCAGGAATTTTCAGAAATGATACAAGTAAGCTCAATAAAGTCTCACCTCAACCACACAATGTGTTTTACAGAAATGAAGTCCCTCATGATTCAAACATGGTCTTGTTCAAGTTCAGCACATTCAGCATGCTTGTGAATCATGAGGGTCCAGGAAATCATGATGGTCCAACAGTTCAAGAACAGGAGGATGAATGGCTCAAGCATGTATAAAATTAAAACTTAGAATTAATGGTGCAGGTCAAGATATCACCTTTGCACAGATAAACCTGCAGTTCTTTATGCCATTTATCTCTGCATTTCTTTGTGCATCAGAAACTGCAGAAGCATTCATTTCAATGCCAACAACCTGGAACAGTTTCAAGTTAAAAAATGTCATTTCCAAGAGAAAAAGTCAGCAGGATATTTGGTTATTTTTAATCTATAAAATGGAAAGGAGAAATCAAATAGTCTCTTAAAATATTATCCAAGGACACTGTAACTTCTGAGAAGAAATAAAACACTGATAGGTATAAAAAATTTTGTCCCAAACACTGTAACTTCTGAGAAGAAATAAAACACAGGTTTCTGAATATTACCATACCAACTCGATGTGCTAAAGTCAGGCCAATAGTTCCAGTCCCACAACATATATCAAAAAGCAAGGTATCAGGACCCAAACCTGCCCAATCCCCAGCAAGTGAATACAGCTTTTCTGCAGCAAGGGTGTTGACCTGCAGTAATGTACCACTTGGAACATAAAGTTTTTCTTTCAGAAGATTTGAAGAAATGGAATGTACAAAAAGAAGAGCTTCTAACTTGAAAAAATGCAGTTGGAGATATGCTGAAGCGAAGGTTGCTAATGTAATCATGAATTCTAGCTTCAACAGTGATATCATTGGCATCTGGACCAGAAGTGGTTTCTGCCTTTGTTATGGATAGTGTACGCAATGGAGCATCAACTGGTGCAGCATTTGATATTCCTGTGTGGTCCTGAATGAGAACCAAACCACCACATAAGCAAAGAGGTGGCACCTTAAAATTTGTTAAAATCAATGTATCAGATCCCCTGAATCTAACAGACCACAAATATAGTCTATCACTAGCTACCTCTGACAAACAAGAACAGGGATGGCTAGGATTACTCAAATATTCTTTTTTATCAGCAACAATGATCAATGAATTGTTTTTATCAGTAGCACCTGAACTACCAACACTGTTAGAGGTAGAGGGGGAGAACTTTCAGCAGCTTCAAGAGCAAGACTTTGAGCCATTCTCTCAAATTCAGTTGTTACTAATTCATCATCAAAGCCTGATGAGCAAACCTGCATATTATAATATAACATGATTAAAAATTGAAGAAGTTTAAATAACATGACTTGGACTAGATAATGGAAGAGACCCCAATAAATGTGAAACTTGGCAGAAAACCTGTTTAAACCTTTCAAGTTGAAAAGGCTTATATGCCTTTGTTCTGCTATGCAAACTGTTGAACACTGTATTAGGTTTGAAGTACTTGATTGAGCCTCTTCCTTTGGGTTCTAAAAGAATTAACTGACCCCTTTGTTCTTGATATTGAGTAAATTGAGCAAATCTACCAACTTATGTAAGTCATTTCTGGTGTTAGTTAATGGGACAAATGGAATTGCAGGACTTCTTTTATTTTTATCCCCCACAAGCAGGGCTGAGGCAGACTCAACAATGTATATCAAATGATGTGCGACCAAAATTATATACATTCATTAGCATCATTATCAGTAACTCTTGCCATCTCAGGTGGAGTGAATTATACAATATCATTTTTTTGATAAATTATACAATATCATTTTCTCATCTTTGAAAGTGCAAAAAAAAAACAGCCAATCACCTTGGTTAAACTTTTTAAGGGTATGCACGAATTCACATTAGACAAAATTCTTGCCAACAGTAATATTGGACAGCCCACTTGAAGGTGGGAGCAGATGAGCCCTTGATATATAGAAAGGGCAGAATCAGGAACCACAGTAATCCTAAAACTTCAAGTTTCTCAATTGCAAAACCACAATAGACAGCAAACCTGAATCATAAGCATAACTTCTGAAATATTGGACTCGAGAGCTGCAACCTCAATTGTCTCGCCTGGACTCCTGCCTTCCCTAACCTAATTAATTTAAGAAATATTAGCTCTGTGAATGTTAAAATGTTAAAGAGAATATACTTAAATTATAATAATGGAATAAAGGACTACATACATTAATTCCATCTACTGTGCATAAGAGTTACAGTTTAGCATGATGAGAAATTCATTATTTCTAATCATGGAAACTAAAAAAACTTACTGTTAATTGACGCCAGAAGCCAGTATTATTGATTCTGTTCCACAATGGTAAGCTTGAATGCTGTAGAAACTCCTGAAAGATAGCAGCAAACTTGCAAGCTATTTTAGAAATATTTGGGCAGTCCACAGGTTCCTCTACTGCAGTTACACCGTCCCTGAAAAACCAAGTTCTTTCCCTGTTTGTAAACAAATACCAAAGAAAATACTGCATAGGTGCCCCTAAAAACCTGCATGAGATTGCAGCTTTAGAAATAGGAATCAGCAAGAGACCAACCTAAAGTTTCCAATCATAAAGCCCACAGTTGGTTTCCCCATAAAAGAATATCCAACTGAGAATTCACACTTATTTCGATATCCATTTACAAGTGGTGACTCAAGTATTCCCTCGAGTTTGCATGGAAGACCACCTGCAAAATTTAAAATGCTAAAAGGATAATATGAATTCCATGTGCTTCAAGAAAGTATCAATCATCATGACAATAGAGTTGACATGATGCCTTGACAACTATATTATTTCATATCATTGACAATGAGCAATAAATGACATCCATGAGACCTGAAACTGTAACAGCATAACCATTTTATAAAGATTAAGAAAAATGTACAATGGGTTTGCTTTACTTAAAGATCTAATACACAAACACCCACAAACCAAAATATTATCTAAATGAACTAAAAAAATGACTTCCATCAGACTAGAAACTACACCTTTTAACATTAGATGCACATGTTTGTCCATATAAACATTGTTAAATAGGGTCTTAATTGAATTGAATTGTGGTAAATCCAGGTTCAATCATATTTAAATGCCTACCTTAACCAATTGAAATTGCTTACCAAAAAGAAACAGTTGAAATTGAGATGTTATGACCTGATCCATTAAAAGACTCAAGGCCAAGGTCCATAGGAATCTTGAGTTATCGGCTATGTGGTTTCTAAATCAACAATGACCAGTTAAGTTCTATTTTTCCTTTTATTCTTATTTTTTATGTATTGGCATTTCTAGTATGCATAGAACCATGTTCGTTTCAGTCATGGGGTCACCATCCTTCTAGTCTTTCTTTTTATGTGCCTTGGTTTGCTTTATCGCTTTATTCAGTTTAAAAGTCTTGTTTGCTTATTATTAATTACTTCAACTTCAAAGCTTTGCTACTACAATCTTGTTATATTTTTGTTAGTGCACTATCGGTTGGCTGGATAAAAGGATATAATGTTGAATTAAATTTCTGATTACTAATTAAAGGGGGAAAAACACCTTTATTAATGCAGGGAATAATTTAGTCAGGTTAACTTTAAGATTGGACGAATGAAGGAAGATTATATACACTTTTTCATATCCTACTTACAGAATCTTTAATAAAGAAGATTTTTTTTTTTTGATAAACAAAACTTGCAGTTTTTCACTGCTGCCAATCTTGGATTTGAGGCTTCCACCATCTAGAGTGATTCTTAAAGATTCCTAGAGTGATTCTAGATAATCTATCTGTGCTTTAGATACTGTGATTTATAATTGCAGGTCTTATGTGAACGATTTGGCAGGCGAAAACTGATTTAATACTTGGACATATCATATACAAGTATTAAACTTTGCTATATGACTGCAGGTTGTTCATGATTAATTTGCCCATTAAAACTTATATGATACTTGGACTGATTATATACAGGCTTCAAGATTCAGGCCCTCCATCACCCAAAAACTTGGTCACATCTTAGGGAAAGCCTAGCATCCACAAGAGAAATTCTAAGTCTTCCAGCCACCTCCTACTAAGCCCAGTAATCACTCCATTTATGCCTTTTGGCTTTTCTTAATTCCCTAATCCACCTTCCAAATTTTATCCAATTTCTCTTAAATCATTAAACCTTTATCTGCCAAATTGGAGTTCAACCAATAAAACATGATATCTACCCAATAATCCCCACATTCTAGAAGCTAAGTGGCACTATAAATCCCAATTGTCCCATTCAGCTATCCCTTCACCCAAACCCTAATTCTTGTCGTAATGCCTTCCCTTTGAGTCCCACATGACTAGATATAATACATGTATCAAAGCTAATTGCTTTTCTGAAGTTAAATTGCATAGTTGCTTTCAAAAATAGATCCTACAATAATCCACTCCATAGGACAATCAGTGCATTTCTCAGGCAGGAAGTAGCCAAGTTCAAGAATATACTGCAAAAATCTGTCTTCCCCTCCTCCCCCTTCTCTTTTTCACTTTTTTATTTCTCCACTTTATGTTTGGCCTTCACACCATCTGTCCTATGTATAAGCAGTATGGCATGACAAAGTGCTGTATTTTAAGTACAGCATTCTTCAACCAAAGTCAAAATATATCAAAATGAGGACATGGGCCTGTAAGTTGGTAAAGTCATAGGGTTCTGCAACGGTGAAATTGGGCCAAAACTGTCTTAATTGGTTACCCACTAAGATTCCCATCTCCCCCCCCCCCCAAAAAAAAAAAAAACAAAAAAAAAAAGAACAAAATCCGGGAGGGGGAGAATTGATGATGACCATGTATTGAATGGATATTTTAAAGAGCCATCTATGTAGAAGTTTAAGTAATATTACCTATATCCCTAGACTTGAGAATCCATTCTGGGAGAGGAATACCTTCTGGACAAGCTTTACGTGCATTACGAGTCTGCAAGGAAAAGCTCCAAAAGTTCAGTTTGAGTGAAAGCAATATGCTACAAAACTTAGATCTAGAATGAATATCTTCCCCAATAATTATGGCATTGAAAAGAGAAACAATGGAAGGCATCTCTCACAAGTTTTTTAAGAGTTTGCATTAGTGAGTTCTTCTTGTGTTCCAACTGATCAGCATAGGACATGTGAGCAAGGGGAGTCACAACATCACAGGCATTTCTTGCTTTTGCAACTAAACCATCACCCATTAACTTGTCCATTTCAACAGTATCATTATTCTCACAACCATTTATAGAGGCAGAAACACTAGAATCATCGGTGCCCAACAAAATTTCAGTTGCTTGCCCTGTTCCTTCAGAGACAGAGATTGTCGATTTAGCTTTTTTCTCAAATGACCGTGGAAGGACATCAGCAACCTTTATTTGCTTATTTCCGATAGTTTTTCCGCCAAGTATCTGTTACATTTGATAATATGAGAATATGGTAACTTATTTTCAAGTTCACAGCACTAACATTAAGATAGAAGGGCAGATGATACCTCAATTGCATTTTTAACTTGTTCTGTATTTTCAAAGCTCACAAAGCCAACAGTCATACCCTTCTTCTTCTTAGCCGTCTTATAGAGAATTCCCTGTCCAAAGAAATAATAACAATCAGTGTACGGTCAAACAATAACAACCCTCTTCAGATAAATGCAAACTTGCAACACCGATTATGTCAACAAAAAAAAAAAATTGCATGCATGCATGTGTATTAAATTCGGGGTTGGTGCAATGCAAGGCATGCACCTAAAAAAAATTCAGGTAACACCTACCAAAAAAATAAGAAAAAAAAACTCAATGCAGAACACATACAAATCTAATTTGTAAAAGAAATAAAAACCTGTTTGCTGAAATGGTCAGAGTATCGAGCTATTAAAACAAAAATTATAACCTTCCATGCTCACGTCCCACAGTCTAAATTTAGGGTTGATTGATTGATTCATCAAAAATAATAACATGCCAGATGAAGCACACCGTACAAAATGAGCCTGGCCATACCTAAGACACAGCTCAGACCTAGTAAGGATCTAAACTATAAAAATTAAAATTACAAAATCGCAAAGTAAAAGGTTGAATAATGTGTAGATTTCAAATGTTTCTTGCATAGGAATTTCCATCTTATACGCATGCTTCACATTTGTACTGAGCTATCCAATTTCGATCTGGGACTTCTTTTACCTAGCTCAACCAAATAATGATTATAATCCTAACAGATCAAATTCAGTCCCTACATTTACCATCTCAAAGCAAATAATTTTTCCCGAACAAATGCATAAACTATCACTCATCAAAATTCCCTGGCTTTAAAGATTAGAAGGACAGCATTTAACTTTAATCTAAACTGAGCTTTTTTTGGCAACAAATTCCTAAATAAGAATTCAGAATTCAAAGACCCACTTGCCTGCTCGTCGAGATAACTCTTCAAATTGTCGGAGGCCCATTTGCGTGGGAGATGCACTACGCATTTATCACGGGCAGGATCCGACGAATCAACGAAAGCGTCCGTCATAAGAACATTAACCTCTGCATCGGAAGTTTCGTTTTTCTCCTCATTTTCGGTTTTCAAGAGCTTCTTCGCCCTCTCCGAAGTTGGGTCCCATGAGTTATCCGGCCGAGGCCGCAGCTCTTCTTCGCCGTGGGCATAGCGACAAGCGTCTCCATGGCTGCAATGCCCAGATTGGCGTCGAAAATACGAACAAAGGCTCGTCTTCCACAAGGGATGAAGGGAACTTTTTGTTCCCTCATTCTCTTCTTCTATATCTTCTCTCTTTCGTTTCCCAGCCGACTCCTGACCTTCTATTGATTGAGAAGACGAGGGTTGGACTTCTTCATCGGCTGCCGTTGCTTCTCCTGCTTCTACTAGGTTTTCTTGTTGCAGTTGCTCGAAAGGTTCGGCATCGTTCGTTGACTCGGTATTCAATGGTTTAATCTCTTCGAGAGACGGGTTCAGAGTCTCAGCTGCCGAGGCATTGTTCCCGGGTGAATCCGCCATTGATGAATTTCGTTACCTCTGAAGTCTGAAACTGAACGTGCACAATCCACTACCAGTGTTGACAAAGCCTTTGCCAAGCCACGAAGAGGGATTTTAGTGGGGTTTTTCGCTCGAGCAAGGCCTTTGCCTTGCCAAGCCACAGGCCATAGCAAACGGATCGGGATCGAATCGGACCATATCCAAATCATCGGATCAACTTCGAAATCGAGTTTAGGTAAACGGCATTTGCAATCTTAGGCGGCACATCCATTGAAAATGTTCTCAATGCACGCTGAGATATGCATATGGGGCGATTTTGGGGCGGGTTCTATCGGGGTAGATGTGAATGCACTCTCAAAAACTTGCCCTTTTGTTTTCTAAGCTTGCCATTACATACCCTCTACTCTTTTTTTTGGTAAATTTTTTAAACTACCCTTATTATTTAGTTAATTGACTAAGTATACTCTTACTGTTTGAAAATTGACTAACACTACCCTTATCTTTCTGACAATTGACTAACTCTTCCCTTATCGTTAACGTTCGTCAACAGAAAAGCAAAAAAGACTATTTTACCCTTTCTTCTTCTTCAAATTTTCAAAATAAAACAGAGAACGGGGAGAGAAACACTTACTCTCTAAAACTGATAGTTTGATTCTGATCCATAGAGAGTGAAAAAAAAAACAAATAATAAGAGAGAGAATGGCAATTCCTCAACTCGTGCATTCCCCATCTTCAACTCTCACTTACAGATGGAGAAAGAGATTCCCCAGCTCAATCCTCTCTCTTACGAAAAAATCGATCATTACGGGTTTTTTTAAAGTTGATCTTTGGAAGGTTAGGGGGTGTGGTGTTTCGTGAGATAAGCCGGAGGCCGCCGCTGCGCTCACAGCTAGATAGAGAGGATCCGCCCCAACTCTACGCCTATGCTCAAATTAAACTGGAATTTCCCATCGCTACTTAGGCATGAGCAACCTGATTCATCCTTCTTCGTTTTATCCCTTCTCTTCTTTCCTTATTTTCCTCCGCGCCACTTTTGCAATCTCTCTCTACTCATCTTCACTTCTGCTACCATTTCTATTATGGGTTTGAGATCAGAAAGTTGTTTCTTCAGGTTCTGCTACTGCTTTTAAGATCTCTACTATCGTTAACATCTCCGGTGGCTCTCATCGGAGTTATCTCAAATCTGGGTTCAGATACAATACAATCATTTTGTTCTCTCGGATCTCCACTGTCGTCGATCTCTCCGGTGCCTCTTATCGGGGTTATCTCAGATATGGGTTTCTCTGAAAAACACTACGCTGGCTCACCCAAATCCAACTAAGGAAGAGAGAGAGATTAAAAGTCAATATGATTTGATGATTTCAATTGTTTGATTAAGTTTGAACGGTATATTAAATCAGCGTCTAATCTTTTCTACTCTCTGAAAAATAACCAGGTGGTTGCACACAAGCTCTCGACGGTAAAGAATGCAGACCAAATCGCAGTGGTCAATGGAGGTTCCATTATTGAAATTGGATCTCACATTGAGCTCATTAACAAAACAAACGATCATTACACAAGGCTGGCAAAATTACAGAGGCAGGTCAGCTACGATGATACTGAACAAACATCTAAATTATGCCATATGTCTTCATCGGTTGCAAGAAGTAGTGCTGGCCGGTTGAGTATAAACAAGAGCCCCTCTTCATTCGTGTCACTGTTTCCTGTCAAGAATCCGTTACCTGTGTCTTATCCCCCTCCCTCTTTCACTCGGCTTTTGCAGTTGAATTCTCCTGAATGGAAAAACAGTGTCATGGGAAGCCTCTCTTTGATTATCTTCAACGTAGTCCAACCCGTTTACGGCATAACCATTGGTGGCATGATCTCTACCTTTTTTCCTCCAGAGCCATGAAGAGATGCGTACACGGATCTAAACATACTCCAAGTCTTCTCCTCCCTCTCCCTCATCTCCATACTCCTTAGAAGTCAAGGTTTTGAGGTAAGAAATTTGAAAAGAGTGGATCTTTGTTACTTTGTTTCGTTGTTTTCTTTTAAATTTTCTTCTATTTTTTTTTGTCTATTTGTCATACTATAAGCTTTTTCAAATGTTGAGTTTGGCAACGAAGAAACAGGTAGAGAAAATTTGCTCTGTCGTTTGATTTATGGCAGAACTACTATGATGAGAAGGGGAAGACTCGTCGTGAACTAGTGGTCAATGTGTGGGCAAGAGAGAGAGTGGGGGGGAGGATTGAGAATGGAGAGAGAGACAGAGGTGGAGCGAGAGGTCTTAGAAGAGAGAGAGAGAGAGAGAGAGAGAGTGGGGGGGGGGGCTCAGGGTACAAGGGGAATATTGGGTTTTGAAAAAATTGTATTGGTCACGTACAGTGACACGTGCATAGATATTGATGGAGCATTAATGGATGTTAACATTAAGGGAAGAGTTAATCTATTGTCAAAAACAATAAAAATAGAGTCAGTCATTTTTCAAACAGTAAGAATACACTTAATCAATTAGCTAAACCATAAGGATAGTTTAAAAAATTACCCTTTTTTTTAAGTCCATACCCTCTACTATTCAGACCTAAGAGGGTGGTTTTTATTCTTTAATGATTTTTGAGATCTAAGAGTGTGAGGCTGGGTGCCTGGGCCTAATTATAGATGACCCAAGGCCCTTCAGCCAGGCTTATCAAAAAAGGCCTTTCAGCCAAGCCCAGATAGTGGACATACATGAATATTTTAATTTCATCCATACGAAGGTATTAAATTACACTGTTCTTGTAAGCTTGTCTACTGAAGTGAAGGGCGGAGCACTCCAAATGTTGATAGTGAGTAGATCAAGGGTTTATTGGCCCAGTCTCCGCCAACCGCCATGTAATTACGTTGGGATTGGACAATCTTGGTCTAATCCTAAACCTAGGTATATGCATATTAATGCAGCTGCCAGTTGTTCTAACTGCACGTTTGGAGGATTTTCATGCAGCAGCAGCTCTGGGCTTTAAGATTTAGGCCCACCAGATAGACCATACGTCATGGTTGGTGAAAAACTGGAAAGCCCAGATTAGCTGTTTTTCAGCCAGAATATGGCTTTCGCATGAATTTTCTTTTTAGACTTCTTTTAGTGGATTCACCAAAACAACTCAACCAGAGCTTAGCTTCATTCTCTCCCAAATTTTGGATTTGCAAGGTGGGCCCCACTCAAACAACCTACAAGTAATGTTCGGCCAAAAAACGATGGCCTTCTGTTGAAGTTTTCACTGAATAGATTCTCCAAAGTTTGCCAGTTTGGGGGAGGGCTAAAGCACAGCAGCTTCTCGCTGTCCGTGTGTGGGACCCAAATGGATAGCCTATGACCAGTGTGGTTGGTGAAAAGTCTGGAGAGCCAAGTCAGATGTGGATTCATCCAGTTGAAGAGCTGTCTGATTCGGCCTATCCGAAGCGTCTTGCCAAGATTATTTGACATACCTATTACCTCACTTCTTTGACAGTTAAGCCGGTTGTCAAAAAAAGCATAGTTTATCTTCAGTTCAATCGTTCCAAAGCGTGGATGCAAAACTTGAGACCCCTCCCAAACGGGTTTAGAGACGCTATCATGAAGTTCTGGCGATCAAAAGCCACAACCTTGATCAGGCTGGGAGTGGATAGTACGACTTGGGCAGTTGGGCAGGCATCGGCCGGGGTTAGGCAAAGTATACAAGAACATAGGTCTTAAGCCAGGAAAATGGGCCAAGCCCAGAAGAATTGAATTGAACTACGTTCAACTTAAGTAAGGACTTTGGCAAACTTTCAAACATACAAATGTACAATCAGCCGAATTGATCATCCTTATCGGGCTTCTTGGGCTGTAATACACTACACGTATCCATGCGAGACTGAGGTGGCGTTTGATAAATCTGAAAAGTTAAAAAGATATTAAAAGTGTCTGAAATCTGAAAAGGGGTACAGATGCTTTTCTACTTTTTAGATGATCTGAGTTCATAAGTTTGTTTGTGTTGAATCAACCCTTTACAATCTTAAATTTACTGATTTTATTATTTTACCCCTGAAACATACTATTTGAAAATGTTGAGTTTATTATCTCATAAAAATAATTTTCAACCTCAAAATAATATTGAAACATTACAAATAAACAATAATAAATTAATAATTAATAAATGAAATGATTAAAATTAAAAAAAAAATAATTAATGACTATAAAAATATTAAAATAATTAATAATTTACACAAATAAAAAATTAATGAAATAATTAAAAATTACTAGTTAATAAAAATAATTAATAAATAATAAGAATAATTAATGTTTAATAAAAAATAGTAAAATAATTTATAACTAATAATAATTACAATTATAATTATAATTTATTAATTATTATTACTCACCCAAGCGGGAAGACAGGGTAGCGAGAAAGAGAGAGTTGCAAATCCCCATCTCCGGCCTCCCTATCTTTTTGTCTTCCTTCTTCATTCCTCTATATTCTTTTTTTGTTCTTTCCTCTTCATCTCCAGCCTCCCTATCTTTCTTCTTCATCTTCTCAGAGAGTTGCAAACCCCCATCTCCGGCCTCCCCATCATCTTCTCAGAACGGTCTCCATCCGTTCTCTCTCTCTTTCCCTCTCTTTCCTCTTCTTCTTCCTCTTGGCATTTTCCTCATTCTCTTCTCCTATTTTTCATCATTGCCACTGCAAGTTCTCCGCCTCCTTCTCTTCCTTATCTTCTCCTCCTCCTCCTTCCTTAACAGTTCGCCCTCCCCTATCTCGCCTCTGCAATTTCAGGCAACGACAGTTCTCCGCCTATTCCTCTCTTCCACTCTCTCTCTCTCTCTCTCTCTCTCTCTTCTCCCTGTTTTCGTTCGCCTGTCAGATTTCGCTGTAGAGAGAGAGGTGTTCTTCCTCCTTGCGAAATGATTAGGTTTTTTGGATTTGGGGGTAATCAAGGGTAGTGTGTGTCATTTCTAAAAAAATAGAAGGGTAGATTCGACGTTGCACCAGCTCTGAAACGCGTTTAAGCATGTTAAGAGCCGATTCAAGGTCTATTATTGTCAAATATGAAAATAAGATTCAGACCATATTTAAGAGGTAAAACCAAACAAGAGATGAGATAGAGTAACATTTTCAGATTCAAACCTCTAAAAAGTGACAGCCTTATCCATGCACTCAGCACATGCTTGTGCAAAGCTAGGGACAACTGCTGAAAGGGGCAATTAACGGGCTGCTGTTGCATGCTAAATGCCTAAATTATGATGATGAGGAACGCACCTCAACTTGCTTTGCCATTTTTGGTAGAAAGAAATGGGGGAATTTCATAATGATCCAAAATTCGTAGAGGCTTTGA